GTTACCCACCTTCAACCCCCGGTAGCCCTTTGGTAACCCCCTTGTAAGTTCCTACCCAGCAGGAGGGGTAACATGGCCCCAGTGTAAACCCCTCCATCTGCCTTCGTTGCCCTGGATTATGGACATATATAAGGGCCTATAGGCTACCCATTTTATATGCTTCCCAGATTAAATTCTGCTTAAGGATACTTTTTTAAATGAAAACATTAGCAACCTACAGTGTCATGATATCTCGAAAGCATCGTTCACCATTCTGTTTGGCTGCGGTAAAATGAGAGCTCATAGATGAGTACAGGAGAATCAAGAATTCAGTCAATCATATTCACTGCCAGCACTGTTCCTATTGACCATACATACAATCGATACCCGTTAGGGTCAAAGTCCTTCTGATGGTGGAAGGCATTGCACCCCTAGTTGATGGATGGTGGTGACCTGGGATAAAGTTAACCTGTGAGCAGACCATGGTCCAAGCCATGGGTTAGATCCCGTCTTGGACTGACCCCATCTGCAGGCTAACTGCCAAACTCAAGTGGTGATGCAGTAGTGCTGAGCCCTACTATCCTTGCTGATATCTATACGGGTAGTATCTATCACTTGGAAGAGAACCTGCCAGACCAGCAGCAGCTGCATGACCAGGCCAGGATGACCTTGCCAGCAATAGTCATGGAGCTGAAGGAGTGGACAGCTGAACATTTGGCATCTGGCCAAAGGCTGCTGGGGAGCGGAAGAAGGTGGAGGCAGCAGGCATGATCAGCAACTTGGAGCAGCAGGTAAATTGTATCAAGAAAATATTGAGCACAAGGGGGCCATGGGCACATTTGTGCCATCACACACACTGCACTGGCTCTACCAATTCCACCCTGTTGATGAGTGAGTCAGATATGGTTATTGCTGGGGCCTAGTTACTATGATGCTATGACCATGACCTGTGTACAGCAAATAATCCACAATAATATCATAGTTTGCCCTAGCTAGCTGCAATGCAATACAAGAAGGTCATGGTCATAGCATCATAGTAATTAGCCCCCAACAACAACCATATCTGACTCACTCCTCAACAGGATGGAATCCACCACATTCCTATAGAGCCAGTGCAGTGTGTGTGATGGCACAATTGTGCCCATGGCCCTTTTGTGCTCAATATTCTTGATACAATGTAATATCTGCTGCTCCAAGTTGCTGCTCATGCTTGCTGCCTCCACCTTCTTCTGCTTCCCAGCAGCTGCCTTCTGGCCAGATGCTGAATGTTCAGCTGTCCACTCCTCCAGCTCCATGACTGGTATTGCTGGCAAGGTCATTCTGGCCTGGTCATGCAGCTGCTGCTGGTCTGGCAGGTCCTCTTCCAAGTGGTAGATACTACCCGTATGGATACCAGCAAGCTTAAGGATAGGAGGGCTCAGCACTACTGCACCACCACTTGAGTCTGGCAGTAAGCCTGCAGATGGGGTCAGTCCGAGACAGGATTGAACCCATGGCTTTGATTAAATAATTGAGATAACACATACAGTTCAAAATGCAGACTCATAATCCCATGTGTCCAAAAAGTTAAGCATACAATAACAAGCTAGTATGACTTAGGAGGTGTTCCACTTGGATTAAAAGTCGCGGATTAAGGTATTTTTAAGCCGCCAATTTCACCAATCCACCGCTAATTAAGAAACGGATTAAGAAACGGATTGAAGTACGACACTTGCTCATTCCGTGCATAAAATGCACAAACGAGTAATGCCAGACATTTAAAAGACTATCGAGTATCAACATGAAGGCCTTGTAGCACCTTTGAACGACACCCACGGTGTGGTGCATAATGCCGAACAAGAAGCACAAAGCTTCCACAAAAATAGGGGGGCCCTTGTGAAGCAGCTGCCCGCGCTTCCAAAGCACGTATGGTGATGTGGAAGGTGCCAAAGTACGTCGGTGAAATATAATGTGGTAGGACTGGAGAGAATAGTGTAGCAGTATAATGTGAGTCTCGTTGCAAGCTAAGCAACGCGTATACATGATGTGTAGCATCAGTCCTCAGTTCACTTCTTGTAACGAACATCAGCATAGGTCCAAGCCCTCTCGCTTGGAGGGATATATGCAAACAAACATCCTGATAGGTAAACTCGCATGCTACCGAGCATTCAACCGAGCACATGCATGCTTAGTTGAATGGTGAGATGCGACCCCCCTTCATTTCGTGATATGTTGGCGATGTTACAGAGACGCTGCACCTTGGTTTCTGTGCGCAATGCCCCGCCGACCAAAACTACACGTGCCCAACTGAAGACACACCGGTGGTTGTGCAGCAGCTCTTGAGGCTTTGTTGGCTGAAATCCATCCTGAGCTGTTGCAACACGGCTAACGCGGGCAAATAGCTGTTCCAAGACCACCGACAAGGCTCTAAACGTCTTATCTGTTCTTGTGTATAATTAAGTTTATGTATGTTATACTTTGCGCAACTTTGTAATTCGACTTTAGTCGGAACAAGGTGCTGTATGCGCTGCGCTGCAGAAAGCAGGCGCCTTTTGGCTTGCACACAACTGCCTTTTCGCCGCTTCCTCTTCCCGCGGCAGTTTCACGAGCCCAGTGTTGCAAGCTACGACGTAGGCTTTCGGTGCTTTCAGTTACTGCAAAGCAGCCACGCAATAGACTAGGCTGCATGCCGCGTGCGACTATGGCCATCGTGCCCACCTGCGCAACGCGCTGGCGCACCTCATTTGCTTGCGCAAACCGCCGCTTCGCCAAACGCTTCCTCTTCCGCGGCCGTTTCAAGCGCCCAGTCTTGCAAGCTACGTTGTTTGCTTTCATATATTTTCATATCTTATTCGGCTCAGGCTAAGCAGCCAGCCAAAAGTCCGAGATGCATGCCGCTTGTGACTGCGGCCAACATGCCTTGATGAGCGGCCTTTCGCCGAAAAAATTTACATACACTTTAACAGGCGCATTTTGAGAATCGCACGCGCGCATCCGCGCGGCAAAATTCGCTCCTGACTTTTGGGGCGATATGTACGGATGTTTTATTCGGCACAGTACGACCGGACACATTTGTGCGAGAGGCTGCTTAACTAGGAACACCTACAGCCTTTATAAAGGATAACCTTCCAACCTATCACTCAGGCTTTTTATGAGGCGACATGAAAAGTGTTAATCCGAGATTGTCAATTTGATACCTGGTGGCCACCAGGTAGCAAATTTTTGGCACCAAGTTTGAGCTTTTAGTATAGGCAGAAAGCTCGCATTTCATAGCATATTAATCTATAATTAATCCGCGAAGCGCGTGAATACGGACGGAACTAATCGCGCCAACCTTAATCCGCCTAATCCGTCCTAATCCGCGCGATGTTTCCATATGCGACGGATTAAGCCTTAATCCGCGACTTTTAATCCAAACACCCCCTTAGACTCATCATAGTAACCAGCCACTGCCTCATTAGCACCGTCTGAGAGCCAGGTCACAGTTGTAAGAGGGATCAGCTCCCCTGGCATCTCCCAACTGAGTACTCTTTGCCTGGTGTTACATTGGTGCGAATTGCTAGGAGGTGGGAACCGCCCGGATCGAATCTGGTTGTGAACATATCACACACCAGGCATGATGCAGCATACTCTTACCCCAAAGGTGGATGCCCAGGCGGGCGAGAAGTCTACCAGCTGAGTAAATACAAAGTCCTCCATCTCGGACAGAGACTGACGAAATGTCAATAACACTTAAATTCACAATCCTACGGGATCTCAAACAACATACATCCTACAGGATATGCCGGGGGGCGCCCGAGGATGTTCGCTCGAGGGGGGGGAATGTAAGAGGGATCAGCTCCCCTGGCATCTCCCAACTGAGTACTCTTTGCCTGGTGTTACAACAGTACCACTGGACACATTTGGTGTGTCCCAAGTGGCCTTGGTGATGACCCTTTGTCCAGCACCTGGGGAAAGCTGACCAGCTTGACAGGCTGGCAGCAAGACAGCCTGACTCCAGCAGCCCAGCTGCAGGTATATGAAGAGGTAACAATAGGAATAACTGCCTATAATAACAAATGGCCAACCCCAGGTGTCACTTTTGCTGTGTTACAATGGTATCAGGCATGACTGCACGAATTCGACTGTAAACTTTGATTCTGGCAACCAGCAGTTATCACAAAATTGTGATTCCATGGTGTAGTGGATAAACCAGCACACAAAGCGTGATGTAGTGGATAAACCAGTACACAAAGCGTGAGGTGGGATAGCTCCACTGCTTGGCAAGAAAGCTTTCCAACCAAGGCGCATAAAGCTATCATAGTGATAGCATGGTAAAGTACCTCAAGTCCAAACAAAACCAAAGAATAAGGCGGTAATTTTAATAGTGGAAAACTCCCCAAGAAAGTAAAGAGAAGCTAAGATGCTCTAATAATGGTCGTGGATGTCTGTTGCTAAGCAGGGGGCAATCTCACTAACTTACTTTCCGTTGACGATGTGTCACTGGTAGTGACAGGGCACGATAGAGCAGAATGCCTTCTGGGGCTACTCGAAGCCTACTGCAAAGTGACAGGTATGGCCTCATTTTTGGGGGCGCTATAGGTGGCCACCTAGGGATGCGCATCTCGATTGGTTGGAGCACACTAAAGTGACCATGCCCCAGCGACTACATCATGTGCTCATGTGTTTTCGGTTAGGCTTTTGGGAGTTAGATGTTAATAGGTCTAATGGGCGTGAGTGCACCGCGCATACCTGCAGGCTTTGTGACTGTGGAGCGGTTGAAGATGAGTTGCATGTTTTCGAGGAATGTCCCGCTTACAAGAGCATACGGGCTAAGTATGATGGTGATCTAGTCTTTAAGGGGCGCAGCATGCGCACCATTATGACTGAGGCGCCACCCCTGGCATTGGCCAGGTACCTCTCGGAAATTTGGGAGGCCAGGCATGTCGCGCTGAGGTGCTTCACCCTGAAGTGGACGAGGGTTAATGAAGATGACCTACTGTGTATTCGCATCAATACCAATACAACGTCCATGGGCCCCCCGGCTTTTACGGACACACCCACACTTGTGTGCGGAACTTGTAACTTGTAACTTTACCAACTTTGTAAATAAAACCGAACACAACCGGATATAACAGGCAGCATCAACGGTCAGTAATCCGTAGCTACGGGTGCAGATGAGTAGGCAGGCTTCTAAGTTCAAGCAGACGTCATCATGGGATGAGAAAGTGAGAACCCTCCTAATGGTACCACAGAGTGAACCCCCACTGCTGCATCATCCGTGTTTCCCCCCCTCCTCCTCCCACTCTGGGAACCCGCTTCCCTTCGATACCCGGGATTCCCTTCATCTAGTGTTCGTTTCGTGCTCATTTAGTGATCATTCCGGAATGAAGGGCTGAGGGGCCTTCAGAACATATAGAAGGAGCTCGGCTGAAATGGTCACTTTCCATGCAAAAGCCGTCTATTATCGCCATGCCAGGGTTTGTTTTAATTACTTATGACTGTATGCATTGTTGCCACGTGAGTTATCATGAATTCTGAGCTCATCCCACAATGAAGGGCTGAGGGCCCTTCAGAAGTAGTTTGGCTGAAGTGGTCGTAATTCACGGATTCCTTTATAGAAGCCTTCTGATATCGTCATGCCAGAATTGGTTTTAGTGAGAACATGACTTAGCATGATTGGAGCTACGTTCGGCAAAACAAGTACAAACGCGCACAGCATCTGTTTGCAAGCCTGGCTGGCTGTGACGGTATAATAACAGCTAATAACTATGGCCCCTCCAGCTAAAACATATCCCCGTTACCTCTGCGACGGCCGCTCACCAAATTCGAATTTTCGTGTGCGTCCTGTGGACGCAATGATCAGTGCCAGTCTCGTGCATATTATCACATCACCAGACAGCAGTGCGTCCAGCTTGTTAATAATGGCAAAGAGGCCGTGGCTCCTAACGAGATGGTCGCAACTTCTCACTGTTGCAATACATTGCCACGTACTCTTTATGGTTAAAACTTACGACGTCCGATATGCTGCAGATGAATATCCTCAGCAACAAGCTCCAGTTGCGGTGGTTGGTGCAGGAGCACAGGCTCAAGCTAACCAGCCGGATGAAACAGGTACAATAAACGAAACTAGCAGACACGTCACATGTAGATCATCAGCGATTTGAAGCTAGGTCCCCCCTGTCAGTACTGTCAGTACACTAGTGTAGGCGCCTCGTCTCCAGTGGCGGTGGACATGGAGTGGAGTCCGGAGTCCGCCGAAGGGCCAGGCGGAAATGCAGTGGAGCCCCGACAACCTAACAGGTGAGACCGTAGTCCATAAGGTATTTTATAGAAATGTTTCTCCTCCTTTTGCATCATCGGGTGATGTGAACACACATTGAAGAAGTGAGGAAGATAGCAAAGTTGGATATGGGGGGGAGAGAGGAGAGGGGAATGCGGGGAAGAGATAGCTGTTTCCTATAGGAGGTGGGGATGCGGGGGAGAGAGAGGAGAGGGGGATGCGGGGCGGAGGTGGAGATGGTGGCAGTGCCGACGGTGGAGGAGGTGAAGGGGGAAGGGATGAAGGGGGCGGAGGTGCTCCGTTGACGCCCGGGGATGGCGACGCCCTCCCCTGCGCCCCCCTAGCCCAACGACGCCCTCCCCTGCGCCCCCCTTGCCCAACGACGCCCTTCCCTGCGGCCCCCTAGCCCAACGACACCCTCCCCTGCGCCCCCCTAGCCGTACGCTGCTCTCCCCTGCACCCCCATAGCCAAACGACGCCCTCCCCTGCGCCCCCCTAGCCCAACGCTGCCCTCCCCTCCGCCGCCCCTAGCTAAACACCGCCCTCCCCTGCGCCCCCCTTGCCCAACGACGCCCTTCCCTGCGGCCCCCTAGCCCAACGACACCCTCCCCTGCGCCCCCCTAGCCGTACGCTGCTCTCCCCTGCACCCCCATAGCCAAACGACGCCCTCCCCTGCGCCCCCCTAGCCCAACGCTGCCCTCCCCTCCGCCGCCCCTAGCTAAACACCGCCCTCCCCTGCGCCCCCCTTGCCCAACGCCGCCCTCCCCTACACCCCCCTAGCCAAACGACGCCCTCCCCTGCGCCCCCATAGCCCAACGCCGCCCTCCCCTGCGCCCCCCTTGCCCAACGCTGCCCTCCCCTCCGCCGCCCCTAGCCCAACGATGCCCTCCCCTGCGCCCCCCTAGCCGTACGCTACTCTCCCCTGCGCCCCCCTAGCCCAACGCCGCCCTCCCGCAGGGGAGGGTGGCGCTGCACGGGCCGGTGCAGGGGAGGGCGGTGCTGCGTTGGGTGGGGCAGGGAAGGGTGGCGCTGCGCAGGGGAGGGCGGCGCTGCACTGGGCAGCGCAGGGAAGGGTGGCGCTGCGCAGGGGAGGGCGGCGCTGCGGGGGGCGGTGCAGGGGAGGGCGGCGCCCCATCACTTCAACTACCATCACCACCCACCTGCACCAGCGCCGTAATGCGCCGCATCAGCCTCACCAGCCGCAGCGCCACAGCTGGCTGTGATGCACCCAACTCACCTCCAACATGAACCCTAGTCGGAGGAGGCGGAATCAAGTTACTTTGCCACATCGACACCGCCGCCGCTGCCAACATCCCGTTCACTGCTGGTGATGCTCCTGGTCCACATACATCACTTCACTGCTGCCACCGCCGCCGACAAAGTCTCTGCTGCTGCCGCCAGCTCTTCCTCAGCTCCCTGCACAACGATGGTAATCGACGCCAGCAGCGCTGCACGGCTCACAGTTCCCTTACCTCCTCCTCCTCCTCTCCTCGTGCTGCTGACCCCAGGTGCGCCTGCTCCTGCCGATCCGTTTCAGACGAGGGCTCGCCAGGCTGAGGGCTGAGGGCCACAGCGGCTGATTCGACTGGCTCAGCAGTGCCTGCATAAGTAAGTATGTATGTATGCATGTCATAAGGGGACGAGGGGAGATTGCTCGTGCAGATGCCATGACAGCAAAAACAGGAGTGTAGTTTGGGAGGTGGGTGTAATGTGTGGCGGGCATTTATGTCGTACATGTATGACATTCATTTCGGCATACGATGTGGGGGAGGCCCTTCTGCGCCAGCAGCAGCAGCCGCATCGTCGTCTCACCTCCGCTGCCGCCAGGCAACCGGCGGGACCCATCAAGCAGCTCAGACTGTAACACGTGGATTGAGCTGCCGCCACTAGAGCACAAGCCTCCCTCGCCACCTTCCCTCTCCTCTATGGTTGTTGGTGCATTAGAAATTACAAATAATATTAAATTAAACTAATTAGAATTCTAATGAGAAAGTTAGAAGACCCCTTGAGAACAGATTAGAATGTTCTAATGTCGTACACCCATTAGGATGGCTATTCAGGCCGCCTCCGCAGCCTGCAACGGCACATTTTTCTAGGAAAAATGGCTGATGCTGATGCTGGGCCATCAAAACCACCAGTTTCGAAGACTCCTAAAGCAACATAAACTTATGGCAACAAGGAGCTAGATGCTCCAGCCTACACGGAAGCCCTGAAGAGTGCAAAAGCAAGAGGCAGTGCTTCCTGGTGGTCGTTTTTCACCGTGATCTTGACAGAAAGAGTCGTGAAGCTGAAGTGCACCATTTGCGGCGAGGTGCTGGGTGCCAAAAATCCGTCTGCAACAGCTCCCAACCATCTTAAGAAGCACAACAAGGCAGCAGACAAGGTGCAGGAGGGCAGTGAGGCGGAGGGCGCCACACCTGCAGTGCCGTCCGGCGCGAAAAGGTCTCGCTCATATGACGGCACGCCCACTCGATCCATGCGGCTTTTCATGCCATCTGCCAACCAGATATACGTCTTCCTGAAGAATCTGGCCTTGTCCTTCTACACCACCAACATCGCCCTTCACCTTATCGAGAACCCCTACCTTGTTCAGGCCTGCACTGCCCTGGGGGTCACACTGCCCAGCCGCTGGAAACTAGTAACCACTATGCTTGACGAGGCGCACGCGGAAACAGTCTCTGAGGTTGAGAAAGAGTGTGCGGCTGGGGAGGGGCTTGCGTGTATTGCCAGTGACGGTTGGCGGAGCCGCGTTGCGTTGGGTGGTACCCCACTTATCAACATCATGTCACTGTATATCGAGCGCGCGATCTTCCGCAAGGCCGTCACCGCCGCCGGTGTCGGACTGTGTGTTGGGTGTTGCTTTGCAGACAATTAGGACTGGACTCTTGGGCTCTTGGTTCAGGTACCAAAGATGTTGGGAAGGCATACGCAGAGACAGTTTAAGACAGTCTAAGACAGTTTAAAGGCGAAATTAGTGACCCAGAGGTCACTTCGACCGGGGGTTTGGCTGAGAAGTCCTGCTTACGGGTGTCGTAGCCCCGTAAAAACCGTTAAAAACACCTGGGTTAGCATCTGCCGTAACCATGGTGAAACTCCGAAGTGAAAAGTCCCCCTCCCTGAGAAGTTACCCCAGGTCTTCTAATATTATTTCTAACGTTCTAATTAGAAATAATATTATAATTAGTAGAGAACGCCTGAAATTCTAATAATTTCAACAACCCTACTCTCCTCCCTTCCCTGCCTTGTCCTCGCTGTTCTCCTCCGCCTTCACTCAATCCGGCACTGTAATCCTCCACTTCATAATCGGTACCCAAGCTGACATCATCAACTGCACCGCCACCGCCGCTGCCGCTACCGCCATAGACGGCCGTTGTCCCCGCCAGCATCGTCGCCACCAGCAGCCGCTGCAAGCCCTTCCGGTTCCGGAGCCGCCCTCGCTGTAGACCATCCACATCCGAGCAACTGTCATTTACACCTCCACCTCCACCTTCCCCAACCTCCGGGTCTGAGCCCTTAAGGACCGGAGGTGGTGGCAGTAGCCGCAGTAGCTCGGGATCCAGGAGCTGGGCCCCCGGGTGCCGCAAGGCGTCGCTGACACAGGCGGCCAAAGTGGTCATCAGCTCTATCTTACCGACCGGTGCTACAGCCCCGGCCTCCCAGCAGGGCTTCCGGTGCAGCGGATTTCATGGTGGGTATGGTTTCGGCGGCTGCTGCAGCCAGGGCCGCTGTGGTGCCAATGGCGTGGCAGAGGGCCATGGTGGTGTGGCTGCCACCGTGGCTGCCACCGCCGCTGCTACTGCCGGCCCCCAGCAGGGGCCCTTCCGGCTCGGCGGCGGCGGCGCGGATTTGTACGACGAGGTGCCTCAGCGCGGCCCCCAAGCCCGGGTGTTGGTAGGTATGCGCATAAACCTCTCTACTGCCTACCACCCCCAGTCCGATGGTCAGACAGAGCGTACTAATAGGACTTTAGGTGATATGTTACGCAATTTCGCAGGCTGCACACCTCTGCTTGGGATACCTACTTGACGGCAGCCGAGTTTGCAATTAATTATGCCGTTAATCGCTCGACTGGTCAAAGCCCTTTCTTTCTTTATTATGGGTACAGTCCTGTTTTGCCTGTTTGGCGTGAGCTTGACGTTAATGTACCTGCGGCTAAGACCTTTGTCAAGATGCTAAGGCCTGTCTGGACTCATCTCAACAGCGCACTGCAGACTATTACAACAAGTCAAAACGGGACATCACCTTCACCAAGGGCCAGCTGATCATGCTGAGTACCAAGAACCTGCGTTCTCTGGCCGAAGGGTCTCGTAAGCTGTTGCCTCGCTGGGTTGGGCCTAATCCTGTTGTGTGCATGGTCGGTTCGGTTGCCGTATAACTTGAACTCCCTTCTGAGATGCGCATCCATCCTACTTGTCTGTCTGTACCGTGGGTCTGTACCCATTCCGGCAGTGCCTGCGCCTCCTGCTGCTACAGAGGCTGCGCCAACCACTTGGTTGTCTGGTAAGCAAACCATGTATGCCGTTGAACGTATTTTGGACTATCGGACCCGGCGCGTGGGTAAGGCTAGGCGCAAGCGCACTGTTCACGAGTACTTAGTCAAGTGGGTAGGGTACTCGTCCGAACATAATAGCTGGGAACCGGCGCGCAACTTCACCCCGGATCTTAAACCGTTGCCTGATGCGGCTCATCTGCGGGCCCAGTCCAAGGTTGCAGCGCGTTAGCTGGTATGGCCAACCTTGTTTTGCACGGTGATTTTTATGCGAGGGGGACGTCGCATTTAGGGGGGGGATAGTTGTTGTATCCTGTAAGCTTACTGTGCAGCTTGCGGCTCCGAAGCCTAACTGTCGGCAGTTAGCTCGTCCGGTCCGATTTACTAACTTCACTGTTACTAACTAATACCTGTATATATATTCGCTGTCGGTGATTACAGGTCTAACTAATACTGATATTAGTTTACTTGCGACTACTGCAGCGGCTACTGTCAGCTGACAGTCGTGGCGGCTTGCGACTACTGATAGTCGTCCGCCATCTGAATGCCGTACCGCTGCGGAAGTCCATACCTGAGTATGGGCGCGGGCTTTACCTGAGTACCTGGTTCGTCTGACCGATCGAGAGTAGTTCCTGAGAGCTATGGCATTCTGGATATCGCGTCACCCAGTCGTACTGGGGACCTTTCGACACGAGGCCCAAGTGGAGTCACTGATGACTATTTATTCAAAGCACTTGTCTCTATCGGTATCTTTCGATACCACCAACTCATGGTTGTGTCGTCTGAAGCATACCACAAAAACAGGAATGTGTGGATGCCCTTCTTGTAAGACACTTGGTATAGGTAGTTCAGATTGGAACAGAAGAATGACTAAGGGGTAATGTGAAGAGCATTGATGCTTTCAGACGTTTTTAATTATTTGAGTCGTGATCTGTGCATGTATGGTTGTATGCATGCATGCATTGTGGACTTTAGTAGAACTGCTGAGCACTGTGGTGATGGTGGTGGTGTTAACGCACTGATATACCTTTTGCTCATGCATGTTCGTTATATTGAAAACAAACACATCAGCAGCATATCAAAGTCGTTGTGTATAGATTCCCATTGCCATGATAAGGGGTTAATGTCACTCTTGCCAGGTGTCAGGTACTGCTGCAGGACGGACATAGTCGCCATAGCATGGCATCTCATGTTACTAATTCCCAACTACCAAAGAGACTACAGGTACGTGACTAGTCCCATCATTCCCCGCCCATAAAGTACAGTCACAGCGGCTCCCTGTCATGTTCCTCCAGTGCAACCCATGGAGGCATGTGCGCACGCACGCACGCCCACGCGCGTGCACACGCACACGCACATGCACACGCACACGCACACGCACATGCACACCGGAAACCCCAACCCATCAGTAGCCCCTGCGACCCAGGGGTGCTAGAATTCAGCAGCAGTCTGATTTTTTGACAGTGTTTCTGGTAATGCTAAATGGTCCTAAGCAGGCACGTCACACAGGGCCAAGTGAAAACAGTGAAGCTTCAGGCAGATTGTAATTAGGTCAGCATGAAGACCATGTGAGTCCGGAATGACTTACAAGCCGAGCGGAGCACAAAACTAGGCTTTCACTCTCCGGGTGGAGCAAAGCTCTGAGCGGAGGGTGTGGCTGTCGTGTTGTTAAACCTGCATCTGGCACCTTTTTTTGTTCATTAAGGTGGTTGCGGCATCGTTTAACAGCGCAGGTGTTCCGTGGTGTTGGTAATTTGCCGCTACCCGGTACACCGTTGCCGTACCTCTACTTGCTCAAGTCGTCTTTAGTGGTGACGTGTGTGAATGACGCGTGCATCGCCAAGGCCGGGATGTGATGCGGCAATGTTTCCAAACCCTCATACGTCGTCGTGTGTAGCCTCATGTGTAGCGCGTGCTTTGCGTAACATCTTGGTGCGGACGATTATTTCCGGCAGAAATGGGAGGCCGTTGTTTTTCCTGAAAAGAACAATTATTCCTCTTTGCCTTTGCTTTCGCCGCCTCGTGGGTAATTGCAGGATAATCCTGATAGGGTCCGTACGTGGTCGTACAGCGCGCTTACAGTTTTATCACAGTTTTAACAGCTACTCAGCGATATTTTTATATTGATGACAGGACTAAGTAGACTAGAATGATGGACCAGGAAGTTGGGGATATCTTCGCCAAGTTTACCGGGGAGCCCCTATCCCCCGGCGTGACAAGCTTTTTGCGGCATTGCATAGACAGTGAGGATGGGCACGATGAAGCTACCAGCGATGCTTTTATGGCATGTCGTGTCGATTTTCCAACGATTCAGCCCCAGCCGCAAACAGGGAACGTCGACCTGCCATTCCAAGGACAGTTCACGCCTGGCTCGTGCAGGAATGGTTCCTTAAAGCTGATGGATCAACAGGAAACGGCTCCAAAAAATAACTCGCTAGTTGTGGGGGACGTCGCTTATTCGGGTATCGGGGGATGTTCGCTTGTCACAGAGGCCCAAGCGCAAGCTTCTCTTTCAAGGGACTGTGGGGGAGTAATGACGATGCCTCGCAAACGGGGCCGCAAGCCAAAACCTAGGCTTCCAGACCTTAATCAACGACTCATCGCCTTGACAGAGCAATTTACGCAGCTCAGCAAGGAAAATGTTTTTCTACGCAATAAGCTCAAGGTAAAAGCAAAAAAATCGGTTATCTGCGCTCTCTGTCTATGCTTGGCCTTCACTTTTACCATAACCGTACCATGCTTGTTCTCCGTATTCCGGCGTATGGTTTTTCCTCTACGCTAGGTCCTTGAGTGCGTGGTACCATACCGCGACGAGAGCGTGGGCTTCCTGACGCAGCTTCTCTCCACATCAGCGCACACACCGCGGCCGCAGGGTGCTGCAGCCGCGCAGCCAGACACGACACGGGCTGCGAGCGGCGGAGCAACCCCGCCAGATTCTCTGGGCGACCGGGGCCAGTCGCCTACGCCTTCCGGTGACGCTGATGATAGCCATGGCACCTCATCGTGGTCTGGCTTGTCTGGTGCCATAGCTAGGTCCAGCTGTGAGGCCCAGTCCTCTCACGCTCACGACAGCGGAAGCGGCGGCGGCTGCGGAGCCAGCTGGACTAGCAACCCTTCAGTTGCTGTCATGGTCGAGGCTATGGAGGCTGCCGCTGGTGGCGGCCACCTCACTTCCACCTCCGCGCAGGAGCAGCAACAGCAGCGCAAGCTGGGTCAGGAGCGGGAGCCATCTAAGACTGACGCCGCTGGTGGCACTCCTGCAGTCCTAGCACTGTGTCCGGCACCCAACGGTGAAGTGCCCGAAATCACGTTGGCAGCCCTGGAGGACCTCAAGGGGGTAACGGCGCATGACTTCCGGCTGCTGTGGAAGCACATTTGCCTTCAGGTGCGACTGGACGCGCGCTTTTGTGTTGTGTCAGGAAAATATCCTGGCTTGGGGGACATACACGGAAGTGTAGCGGGAACATGCATAGGGATAATAACTGAGGATGGTGATATGGGGAGGTGATGTGCCCTGTGGGTCAAGGCAGTGGTCGAGGTTCCGCGCTTCTTATCGCTCGTCACATGTGCATTATGCATTGCAGCTCGGGGTCCTTGTTGCTGGAGCGGAGGTGCACGGACCGGGCAGCTCGCCGTACATACGACTGGAGCGGTTTCTGGAGCGTGCTCTGTCGTACATGGACAAGATTACACTGCTCTCGCCTGCGTGCTTTGTGCATAGCATGTACGTATGGAGTTTGGTATTTGTATTACTTACATGCTTGTACTTGACAATGCGGAATTGGAATCTAATAAAAATGGTGAACCTGCTTTTGCTCTGTTGAGGGATTATTTTATCTGGGAGCTGAGTGATTGAGCAGCAAATGATTTCACACTAAAGGAACTCCTGGTTACTGTGACATCACTCAATCGTGGGTCCATTGGGCTCCTGCTTGTCCGGGGGCGTTCTTGGGGACTTTCTTTCAGTGCTTGAGCAGCGCCAGTTTTGGGACGCATTTGGCCAGTGTGACCGCAGGGAGGTCGCACGCAACTGCCGGGGACTAGTCTAAGGATATCCGATCTGGGCCCAGACTACCGCATCATGCACCTCGTGTATTTGTACTGCTGTCTGCTCCCTTGCCTGCCGTACCTTCTTCAGGTACACCAATGTAGAGACTGGGCAGCCCGAACGACCGTCGGACAGCTTTTGGATTACATGCGGTAAGATTTGTCACCTGCCATGTGGAGCATTGTTCAGGTAGTTTGTTTGTGTTGATGTCTTCTTGGTAGAGTTTCGGCCATGGATTTCCAGTCGGTCTTCTGCCCTCCTTCCGTGGTGCGTCTTCCGAGAAGGTTTGATTATACTAGATTATGCAGCTATGTAACTCACTTTGCAGAAGCATGGCAGATTGGCCTTGGGGTGTGTTATTCGTGAACCCGTCAATTTTCCTTGACTTGCCGTTTCCTGATGCCCTAATTGCAGCGCGTTCGTTGCAGCTATCTCCGCAGCAGCTGTCAGAAGTCAATTCGCTGGCGGCCGTGTACGAACAGAACGTGATCCCCGTGGTGCAGCAACGGCTGCAGCTGGCCATGCAGCTGACGAGTCGCCTGGGTGCAGCCACTGGCCCGCAGCGGCCCGGCAGCAGAAACGGCGCGTTAACGGTAGGCCAGAGTTTAAGGAAGGTTATCTAGCATGGGGGGGCATGGTAACTTCGCGGCTTTAGGCACTGGCGCAGGAGGCAGTGTGAGAGTGGTTGCATACTGGGTGGGTTAGCGTTGGTTGGCTGATAGCAGGCCACATTCAGATCAGGTAATGGAGAGGACGCCCCGGTATTGAATGTGGTGATGCAGGGAAACGAGGCAATGCTGTGTCCAGAAATAATCCTGCTCCTGTGCGGTGATTGAAGTCCGCGCACATAATACCTCGCTTGGCGGTAGCACTTGCGCGCCCTATAACAATCTTTTTGATGGCTTCCATAAAAGTAAAGCGCCTCCCTCCAGCATTGAGCCCACCAATGATCACCCTTTTGCACGCCTGTGGTCAGCAGGCGGTTTCCACAATTGACGAACTGGCAGAGCAGCTAGAACGGAATGTGCTGAAGGAGCATCAGACACACTGGAATATTGGCGACTTCCTATGCTCCAGGTGAGCGGCACATGATAGATAGAGCGACTGACGGCGTGCCAAACAATTTTTCAGTCGGACAGGGTTTGGGGTGGGCGTGACGCTTGGTTGTCCTTGTGTTCCCCCCTGTCCGATATACTAGGATGGGTTGAGATGGCATACGACTTGTTTTACGATGTCCTTGCATTTGTGCGTCTGCCGCTGCATCCCTTCCACCACCCTTTCGCAGTGTGTTGACACCGCTCCAAGTGGCCAAGGCGCTCACCGTTGCCTACCCGTACATCCCGGATGGTGTGGCCATGCTGCACGCGTTCAAGCTTATCAATGCTCCAGACGACAGGATGCCGACAGCACCTACAGGAGTGGCAGCCAACCCCTCTGGCCTCGCGGGCACACAACAGCCGCCGAGCAGCCAGTCGTTTCCCAGCCTGGCCGGTTTGCTAGCGAGCCAGCTGCCGGCGCTTTTGATGGGGGTGGCGGCGGGCGGATCACAGGTGCAAGCACGGGTACCGGCGGGACTACCTCTGCAGTCCGGCGGCGGGGCTGGTGCGGTCCTGGCGAAACTTGGGACTAGTTTACCGCCGGTGCAGATGCAGCAGATGCTGGTGGCGCTTTTACAACAACAGCAGCAGCTGCAACCGGCACAGCTGCTGCCGAGGACGGCAGGCAGCGCAAATCCGCAGCCACAGGTGCAATTGCTCAAGGCCCTGGCGGCCGGTCTTCAGCAGCAAGGAGCGACGCAGCTGCAGCCGTTGATAGCGGGACTACAGGCGGCGGCAGCAGCATTGTCGGCAGGGACACAAACCCAGCCTGCGCCCGGCGGTGGTCTGCCAGCCACGGGTCAGCTCCAAGGTTTTGCATCGTTACTTGACACCTTGGCATCTACCCAGCAAACTGCAGGCAGCATGCAGTCTGGAGCGGTGGCCAGTCAGTGCCGTTGAGCGGGTCGGTCTCACGAAGCATCAGAAAAAGGCCGTCTAAGCCATCATTTAAGCGCTCAAGAATGTTGAAAAGCTCATATACGGAAATGTTGTAGGGATGTGTACTACATCCTTGTCATTATTAATGTGCCATGCTTTTAATGTCTTAAGGCATGCCATTTTTGGGTTTTATTATTGTGTCATTGCCCAATCCAACCTCATGCTGCAATGAGGCCATGAGGAGGAGTGCTCTATTTGTTGCCGGCAGGAAGTGTTTTCGAGGCACTGTTGCCATGTTGATGTTGAGATGAGGTGTGTCTGTAAGGTTCAGGAGCTATGCTAGCGGGTGTTGGTTGCATTTATGCCGCGTATGGCATCATGTAAATAGCGCACGAGAAGTAAATCTGCACAAAGCATCCATTCATCTGTTACATTAATTAAGTTACGCAAAACCTTACCATTCAAAGCATATTAAAACCTCAAAATTCCCCCTGTACATAAGCATATAAACAGTGGTTGTTGCCGCTGACTTCAGCTGTGGCAATTTAGTTGTTAATCTGTTCCTTGGTGGGTGCTTGCTATTCCTGTATGTGCGTCAGTGTAATGGTAGTGGCCATGTAGGCACGGCACTGTTACAGCCGTCTCGTGTTGGTGAATGCAACCCCCGTATGAGGCAGGCCACGCGATCAGTTCGATATAGAGCTGGCGTAAGCTGATGGCTTGCAGGATGAGTTGATGAGTACATGTCATGTGGCACCGGTGCTACCTTGTAGTGCCCAGTCTCAGGAAGCCTGGAGCATGTTGAGCAGCCCTGTGGCTTCTTTGTTCTGGAGAATTTATCTTCTGAGCGATATCGTTGACAACCATTACGCGTACTCAATTTCAGATAGGTCGCTTGAAATGCTTCCACGCCGTTGAATAATCCTTGGCGCCGGCGCAGGGGCCTGTGGTGCGTTTGTGATGGGCATAATCCAAATTACCCAAGGTTGAACACAATTTACGAGCTTCGCGGTGCCGCCATATTACGACGTGCTTTATCGAGTTTGAATTTTGTCGATTATCATGATGAGTGTGGCTGGGTCCAGGAGAACAACGCAATAGGAAAGGTCTGCATTATCGCACGGATGCTACAGGGTTCCATTGAATGCACAGCCATGGAATCACCTGAGATGCGCCCGTGGGTCCTCTCTGGTTCATAACACGTCCCATCGGCCTGTTGTATTCCGTGGACTCCGTGATGTCCTACGCGGGGATATGGCATAATCCTTAGGAATTTCCAGGACAGCTCGTGTTGTGGATCCAGTCATGCATCTTCAGCTCCAGCCACGTATAACATATATAAAATTGCACACAAGCAAAGGGACAGAGATATAGCTGTACCTGTATAGTTCGGACAACGTCCGGCTCATAAGTTACACCTTTGGAGGTTAACACAACTCAGGGTATAACACACACAGACACACACACATACATAGTCTTGACTTTATCCTATTTCGGCCGGTGTAGTTCCTTACCTGTATAGCCTGCACCTCGTCTGCCGTCCCGCTGCCAGCGGTGAAGCTTGAGATGGCCTCGTTCCACCCAGACTGCCTGCTGGCCACACTCACCTGTTTGTAGGGGACACCGGCACTACAGGAATCAACACCATTGCTCGAGGAAAGGTTCTCCACACATCCCAACTCGTGGCGCTGCACCCTTTGCCAGTGGTATTCACTTCCTTCAGCGACACATTTCAGCGGCCACCCGCATGAACCTAATCATCCACTTAGATCCTGCTCCCATGGATTCCACTCTTCACACATCTCTTGGCACATCATCGTACCTGGGAACCCAAGTGGCGTAAAACTACTTCAGCGCACCTGGGTCGATGGGACCTTGCCGCTTTGCATGGTGGGCTTCCGTAGTGTGGCGCTGGGACTGCCCCAGGCCCCGGGGGACCGCTTCAAGGACTGGCTGTTGGTGTTATCGAAGGACTGGATAGAGTCCAACATCTCCACCTCAGCCGCCTCGCTGGGCTGCGGAGACGCCTTGGCCTTAGCTGGCGCCGCCTGCAGCGGCTCGTCGGTAGCCCAGCCCCTGTGATACACAAGACAGCAACCAGAGATCGCATACTCACTCAACGCGTCATTGCCAAATGGATAAGCAGTACTTGCCAAGGACAGGCATAGGGACTAAGCGCCATCCGCAAATCCACGCTACTGAAGATGTCAAGGAATTCAATGGTTTCCACAACAGGATTGCTGGACCTGCATGAGCATGCACGGCTGCACCGCACAAAAGGGCTTGTGGGGGCCCTGGCCGAAGCACCCGCGCACCTGGTTTGGGCGGGTTTGGGGGGCGCACCGAGCCGGCTCGGGCCCAAGGTGCGCTGTTGAGGCGACCCTGCTGGCGCCCTTAGAATCATGGGTTGTCGGGCTATGAAGAGGGTCCGATGGAAAAGCAAAGGAGGGACACGGCGTCACGATGGGCCTTAAGAGTCACACCGCTCACAAACTGCTCCAATGGACGCAAAAACGTTTAAAAAATGATTGCGCACTAGCACAAGCGTAGAAGGCATTGCCAGGCTCTGCCGTACAGACGGGCTTCAAAAACAGCGACGTGGGAACGCAGAAAGCGAAAGACATGGCTGATCCTAGACTGGGTGGACAGCTTTGAAGTTGACGACTTCGACTGAAGAAGCTTACCACCAGTGCTGAAATCTACGCTTTCCTCGATGCCCATGTCCTGCTGTGTCTCCTCGTCCTCCGTCAGCGTGTACTCGTCATCGTCATCCGCCACTCGCCGCACTGCAACCAAGGGAATAGATTAGGAGTGCTCAGGTAACGGCGCTCGATGTCAGGAAATTGCCTGCCCAGCATGCCAAAGCCTCGAACTCTACTTCACACATATTCACAATGGGGCCCCCTTTTCCTGAATTCGGTGGCAGTAAGCGTTGCAACTTATCATGTCAAAACGTAATCAGTTTAAACCTACGTAGCAATACACCTGTAGTAGCCGGTACACTGTACGGCACTGTGAACAACTACAAATACGCGCTACGCGCGTCCACCAGCATCTCGAGAGGCCTTTTCAGCGGCCAGCTACTACAACACCTGCATGAAACCTTCCTTGATGCATAACAATTCGCAGAAGTGGCGCTGCCCCCACCGGCAGTTAGCGCCCACAGACCGTACCTCCCCACTCACCGGCCTTGGGCTGCGGAAGCGGCGTCACGTCCTCCTCATCGTCATCGAAGTCCGAGTCCTGGTACTTAACCGACCTGATAGACATGTTCATGTTGCCGCTCGGCGGTGAAGCCGTCGCCACCGCGGCCGCCGCCGCTGCCGCGCCCCCGCCCAGCCCTGACCGGGCCACCACCTGCATCGGTTTGGCGTGGCCCAAGGTAATCCGCTCCGGACTGCCCGGTGAGACCTCCCGTGTCAGCATCACCGGTGTGGGTGCCTGTGGCCCAGACGAGGCTACGGGTTGCGGCCGGGCGAGTTTTCCCGACTGCTGCAACGACTGCTGGCTCCGCAAGGACTGCTGGCGTGGGTCACTGCTGCTACCGCTGGAGCCCCGCTGAAGCTGGGTGACCGCATCGCCGGCCCGGCTTGCACTGTTGCGGAGCTCCGTGGTGGACGTCTCGCTGCTAAGGTGAGTGCTGCCGCCTCCGCCTCTGCCTCCGCGACCTGCCGCGATATACGTGCCACATTAGTGCAGAAGAGCGAAGAGCGAAAGAGGTTCACGCAATCGATGATGAAGGGGCTTCGTGAGCGATGAGAGAATAATTACACAAGTGGTTCGTGCGAGTCGAGGGCAGCTGCGGTTGGTACACAGACGGGGTGGAGACGAACCGCAGACGAGTGATTCTGATACCAGAGAAAGGTACTCCAGGGGGGAAGGTGCTGGACGGGACGCAGCACGGTGCAAGGTGGAAGGAAGGAGGAGAAGGGTATCGCCCGCCTTCGTAACATGCCTTACCCTGTCCAGGTACGCTCCGTCGTGATTCTGAAAGCTGCTGAGTAGTTCCAAAGCCAGGCCTGCTGACGAATGAGGGGCAAAACATGCGCGTCAGAGCAGCACTGGCAACATTCATGGGAGTGGAGGCTGGGCCTTATTTCCAAGAGAGATCTAATGGCCAAGGCTGCTCCATGCGATATGGGGTAACGTTTTTGTACCGTGTCAGTCTTCGCGGTGTGTGTGCAGATATTACTGTAAAGTGAGGGGTCCCGGCAGGTTACGCTGCCCTTCAGAGCAACTGTGATCTGATGTGGTTCACTCTTGGCCAGCGAGCCAGCAGCCTTCCAGGCAAGCTGCGGCTATACCATGGGGCCTTACAACGCGGTAAGGATGTATAAGCGCGCAGGGGGCAATACCATTCTGCGTACCCCAATTCAAGCGCCCAGACTTTTCGGACTTAAGGCCGTCTGGCGCATTCCGATGTGCTCTACACCCGACGTTGATTATTGACATACCTGGAGCCCTTACTGCCCCTCAGCTCCTCCACGGCCGTCGCGTCACCTCCCGTCGCGCTGCTACGCTGGCTGTTCTGCCGCGACGGGAAACTAGGGAGCTGCCGCGGAGCTGGTGAAGCCGCCACCACCGCGCCTGTAGCGAGTGGCGCGGCGGCCGCTTCCGCCGCCGCGGCAAGCCCTTGGCTGCGGGACGCCAGGGATACAGAGCGCCCCGGCTCGCCGGAGGTGACCTGCGCCAGTTGCCCGGCGGCGCCGCCAACGTCGGCGGCCGGCACTGCCACTACCCGAGCACCAGGCTGAATCTCCTCCTCCTCCCCTTCGTGGCCGGCACCGAGCATGTCTGACGCCTGCGACGGCTGCTGCTGCTGCATTTTCTGTTGCTCCAGCTTTTGCTGCTGCATCTGCTGCTGCAGTTGAGCTTGTTGCTGCAGCCGACGCTGCGCCTCGTCGTCGCGCTTCAGTAGCTCCAGGTGCGTCATCAGGAAGTTTCGCAAATCTTCTGCGCGGTCCTGGACGTCCCGAGGGAATTTCTCCAGCAGCTGCCTGTGTTGTGTATGCGAAGGGAAACAGCTGCCTACGTCACATCAACCCACAACCCAAATAGATGAGAGACGTGCCTATGTGTGAGGGACAGGTGTGCGGCCATGGATGTTGCAGCTTTAGGGCGATGGATGTGCAAAGCGCGCAGAGAGGTCCGTCACCCAGACCTGGTGTTCAGAGGGGTTACGGGACTCAGGTAATGCAAAAAGCGCACAAGCGCAGGGTACCGGAAGCCAGGGAAGCAAGCCAGCACAGCATGGTCACACGGTGCAATTCCGTGATAGTAGGCTATTGCGCATAAAGCCTCCTTATTGCCTGCACTGCCATTGATCCGCAACTGGAAGGAAGGCGTTGTGCTCCCTTGCCAGCCAGGCTGCCAGGGAGAGATGAAAAAGCAGGTACGCAGCAAGAGCAAGTAGCTCCGCACCTCCTCCGGGAGCTCAGCTCTTGCATGCACGCCAGGTAGGTCTTGTCGCTAAGGGACTGCGTGGTCGTGTCCACGCTGTACTGTGCCAATTCGTCGTCCAATCTTGCCAGCAGCAGGTCCGTGAACAGGCTGCGCGCCGTCGCCAGGTCCTACAGGGCAACGCATGCACGCGCTTCAGAGCTCCGTGGGCAAGGAAGCGGAACCAAGTCCGTTGATGCACCGCAGACTCCGGGACACATGTACAGTGTGTACAAGGGATGCAGTCCAGTCACGTGCTTCGCATCCTGTTATCTGGCCAGTAGATAATGCAGCCAGAGGACGAATGGGGAAGCCATGCCCACAGGCTATCAACATGTCAAGCCTGTGGCATCCTTGCAAGAGGGGGCCGCAGACGCCGGCGTAGACGCCACTGCGCCAAATGAGAAGCCGAACATCCCAGTGCTGGTGCTGGGCTTCGTCGTAGTGCTGGCATCAGTTTCGGTGGCCGTGATAACGGTGGGAGCTGCGAAGCTGCCGAAAAGAGAGGAGCCAGACGCCGCGCCAGACGCAGCGGAGGCTGCTGCCGCAGGGGCAGCGACCATGAAACCCGTGGCTGGCATGGGAGAAAGAGGGGGACGCCCCAAAGGGGGACGCCCGCGCCTGTGGTGTGAAGGACGGCACAGGCCCTAGGCACAGTCCAGAGAAGTGAAGGACGCATTAAGATGCCATCTATGGTCATTGTCATGAAAACCAGCAACTACCAAACACCCTCCCTTCGGGGCCGCTCTTGGCCACTGTTTGCCATGTCCTCCACACCCATTCGCCTCCCGCTCATTCGCCACTGCTCACACAGCTCTGCTGACCTCCAGGTTGTGTCGCGAGATAGACAGAACGCCCTTGCGTTCCGCCATCTCGTACGTCAGCATAGCCCTGAACCGCTCCTCGTCGTCGCCCTCAAACTCGTAGGGATTCTCGGAGATAACCCGGATCTCGTCTTGGATCATCCGGTCAATCCCTTCCGGCAGCATCCCTGCCACATGCCGCATGACTTGCTGTTGAATGGCCCTGCACAATGTACACGTACAGCGCGGAAGGTGGCGGAGAGGATGAGAGGGCGAGGACAGAGCGATGAGGAAGTCGGAAAGGGAGAAGGCCCTACGGATGTAAGAGCGCCTTGTTATCGAGTGCTGTAATTTTTGGGTCCGCCTTAACTCGCACAGCATTTGCATGTGCACCTAACAACACTGTGCGTACTGGTTGAACCGGCGGTGAGAGCGCGACAAACATGCACCCATCAGTCCTCCACCATGAGCGCCTAAACGTCGTACAGCTTCCTACACCGTGCAGGTCTGACCCCTTCCGAGTCGTCGCCCGATGGTCCCCTCCCTTCGCCCTAAGCCCCACAAACCCCACAACCCAAATTGCTGTACTTACGCGGCCTGGGTTTGGTTAGGCCGGGGAATACGCCGCAGCCACCGGATGCCCTGGGACGGGTCGTGCTGCTGCCGCTGCTGCTGGGGTGACGGCGGCAAGAACGCCGACGACGACGTGACCTCAGACTCCTCGAGAATGGTCGGCGACCGCGTAGGGGACTTTGGCGAATGTGGCGGAAGGTCCGAGGCGGCGGGTTTCCGGAGGGAAGTCGGCGTCTCCACGCTACTGCCACCGCCGGGAGGCGAGTCGCCCGGGAAGGAGAAGGACGACTGCACCTTGGCTGGATCTGCCAGCCGCTCAAAGTGCTTCACCTGCGAAGGCACAGGAGCACACACACACACATAGGCATACACACATGCACGCACGCGTGCATGCACACATGCAGCTTCGTCAGAGGGTCCCTGTGCAGGCGCGGGCTCGACACGTCGTGTATCCCAGGTAGGAAAGCAGCACAACACTCGCTGAAACGAGTAGCACCCATCGGCTATGGTGTGTGCCGTGGCACCAATGGCCCCAGCATGGCCGCTCCCAACAGGAAAAGTACGTCGCCCCGCCTGACCTGCTTCCGGACATGGCTCGGTCCAGAATCGGGACTGCTCGCCTGCTGCCGCTTCCTCTCCGCTTCCAGCTGCGCCTGCGCATCCCAGGCAGGGGAAGGGAAGAGCCGCACCATCGTGGTTTCGAGCTTTCGCCACTCTCCAAAACGTACAAGCGAAAAAACGGAGCGCCACAGCATGCATCACCTCACATAGCGTGACCTGGGGCGTGATCTAGATCACCAGTAAACTCGAGCCATACACCGAAACAGGTGACAGCACTACGTATAATCCTGCTGATGTGCCGGGTAATGACGCCTTCGGCCAAATGCACCCGCCGCCTCCTTATCAAGCTCCGCGCCTTACTCCCTCCACCCTTCCTGCCCCCTGCATTCCAGTCGCATCGGTGCCCCTACCTGCAAGTCGCGGACTGTGGTTCTCAGCCGCTCAATGAGCGCATCGCGGTCTCGAAGAGCGTCCTCTAGGTCCAGCACACGCCGCTGCGAGGCATCACGCTGCGGCAATTCACAGAGGGCGGCGCAGAAGCGTCAGGAACATCAGACGGGAAAAGCTACCTCAGGTCGGGACAATAATGGTCCAAGCAGCACCCGGATCGGGACCGGTCAGGACTGGGTATGCGCCGTAGCCCAAGGCCAGGGTAAAGACTGGGAGACTGACTACCTAGGCCACTATCGAGCACCAGAGCTTGGGTATCATATTACGATGAAGGAAACAGAAGCTAGCGTGGTGTGCCGGAGCCCCGCAAGCGCGCACCTCCTCCTTCAGTCGCTCCATCTCCTCCGTCCGCCAATCACGCCCTATGCTCCGGTCGCCTGCGGCACATAGTCACCAGCGTCCAAGACTCAATGCTGTTTTCGGCTTACAGTCCACCATTCTCGCCTTCTCGCTTGGCCCCTTGATCATTTTCCGGCCCCAGCCCACGTGATTGGGAATGGGATTTGCTACTCATTATCCTGCTAAGAAGCAGCCAGCTTGCTTTGCGGATGAGGAGCCCTCTGCAAGGCATATTTGGGGTGGTGTAAACATGCTGAGAATCCGAGGGGGGCCGTACCAGTACCTGGCGGCGGAGACGTCCGGTTCTGGAGCTGCAGCCGCAGCTGCTCCACCTCCCCAGCCAGCGCGTTTCTTTCGCCCTGCACGGTGCCAAAGGGGTGGACAGGAGGAACTGAGGAACACTGTAATTCTGGTCCGGGTTGCAGTGGTTGGGTTGCAGTGAGCATGCGGGCGGGATGGTCGTCGTCATAGGCGATGAGCGAGGGCACGCTCAGTGGTTGGAAAGCTTGCAAAGCCGATGCGGCATACGGCAAGCCAAGCCAGGCCGCATGCGTGCTCCGCTCGCGTGTCTGCCTCATTTGACGTAGCAACCCATGCGTTACATCGCTGCCACTGCGGGTCCCCTTCTCCCTCATCACCTTGAGTTGTATGAGCTGCTGATTCAGCCGCTCGTTGGTTGCCTCGTACTCTGCCAGTAGAGCCTGTAAACGCGAACAGCGGAGAGTTCCGATATGCAATCACATCAGCAGTTCCCTCATCGTCGCTCAGAGATCATTTAATGTACATTCACAACACAATGGTGTTTCCCATGGCAAGGGAACATGCGCTGGCGTCTCCATGCTCCATGAAGACGTGGACGCGTGCCTATGTTCCTAATTATTGTTGGGCCATGGACCCGTGGGTCATTGCTCCTCAGCCCGCCCAGCACGAAAGCTTGGCCCCTCAAACCCGGCCTCGCCCAGAGACACACGTCCCCCGCGCACCCGCTGCCTGTCAACATTGTAGTCCTCCGCATCCTCAGGCTGGCTGCGGCGCTCCTCCACTATCTTCACAAACCCGCCGGTCTGGGGTGGGCTCATGCGTCCGGACCCGTCACGTTGCGCGGCTCGCACCTCTGCAAGCCTGGCAACCGAGCATAAATGTAAGCAATACACTTGCGGGCATACTTTGCAGGCCAAGGTTCTGCTGGACGACTAGTACGCCATAAAAGCTAAAAGCGGTTACAAGAGCTTCAGTAATGGAACCCCACCTGCGCTCCGCCGCAGCCACTCTCTCCTGCGCGGCTTCCAGCTCCTCTGGACAGGGAGGAAAGGGAATTCGACTCAGATCCTTAGCTTATTCTAAGAGCACCAAGGTGAACGGAGGGGTCCCCAAGGAGCATGCAACTGCGTCCTCTGCAAGCGGTACAGTCTCCGACCCACATGCAAGGGCAGCCACAGCACGTGAAGGCGCATGGCATAGTGGGACAAACGCGCTTGTTGCATCGAAGCAGGTGGGATGCTGCGTTCTGGCACTCGAGGAGACGGTTGCCAAGGCCTCAAGCCAGCAAAATTGAAGCCCTGAAAACGCAACGGATGTGGCCCAACACACCGCGCTGGCTATCATGATACGCGCTGCGAGGGCCTCACCCTGCAGCTGCCGCACGTCCTCGGAGTATGTCCGCCGCAGGTCCGCGAGCTCTCTGTCCAGTTGGGCTTTTGCGGACTCCAGCTCCCGCAGCATCCGCTCGTCGCCGGACTGCTGGGAAGACGGCAAGGCGCTGCGGAGGCGCAGCGGGACGTGAAAAGCACGGCACACCTCTGAGCACAACACCCGATGAGAGGAAAGCGGGTTGCAGCTGTGACTGAAATGCAGTTCCCACAATGGTACGATAGCCTGGACAAGTGAAGCTCAGATTGTGTGTGTGTGTATTTTACGCATATTGAATCGCCTAACCCTCCGAAGGTGTAACGAGCCAAAGAGCAGAGGATGAACCCTCAAAATTGCGTGTCGTGCACGTCATCACCCGGGCAAACTTTACCTACCCTAACGCAGTGGCCTTCATGGCCTTCATGAGCTGCTTCTGCAATGCCGCAATCTCGGCCTTGGCATCCGACAGTTGCTCCTGTGTACATTCATACAGACATACATACATCGGGGGACGATGAACAAAAAGCAGATTTACAACAGATAAATATTAGCATTTAATCTAACACGTCCCCGGCGAATCTTAAGGAACCTAAGAAACGTCCTGAGCAGCCACCAGCTTCACCAGCAAGCAAACAAGTCAGCGGGTAAAAGCCCCTTAGTCGTTTAATGCCTTTGCCTTCCAACAGCGCTGTCTTGCCGTTTGTGCGACATCGCCCGTAGCTATACCGGCCCGTTTGATGCCGTCTTCATCTTCAGGCCGGAGAACCAATGGCCAGCATTACGCAGCTTTTTTTTCCATCGCTGCTGCCCTGCTTTTTCCAGCGCTCCCCCCATGCCCTATAACCTTGATCCCACGCCCCGTCCAAAACTCCTTGCAAAAAAGGCTCCACCAAGTACCTGAAAAGCCCACCTGCTTGCGTTAAGCGGGAAGCCCCTTTCCAAGCACCGCACCCAGCCCAATAGCACACCTGAAGCGCTGCTTTCTGGCGGTCAGCTTCCAGCAGCATACTGCTCAGGTTTTCGCTGGCGCGCGGGCTTTCCGTGGGACCCGCCGGCCTGCGGCAGCACACACATGGCAAACACGATATGCCTCAGATACGCATCACATCCCAATTCGGTGGGACGCGCTTATCCTTCCTTAGGCTTGGGGTAGTCCAGCTGCGCCCTTCTCCACGTTGACGCTGCCCTTCTCCATGTTCACGTACACGCTCGACTCGCTACCAACGGTTGTGAGGCGAGGACGCTCGTACGGCGTTCGTCCGCAAGCATTGCGCCACACAGCCCTAGAAGCAGGCAAAGCTGTCTGCCGAGAAAGCCATCTGGGACCGACCGTCAGACAACCACCTCCGGAGTAGCATGGCGGGGCACGCAGCCGGTAGGGACAGCCGCACTCACGAGCCCAGTTGGCTATCCGCTCTCAGTAAAGTAGGTTCAATTAACCCTCGCCATACCTGCTTGCCAGCTCAGACAGCAGCCGGCTCTTCTCGTCCTGCAGCTGTCGTCGCTCCACGTTGGCTTGCTCCAGCTCCGCTGTCAGGTCCTCCTTCTCGTTCCGGAGCTTGCTGCGCAAACGGACGGAAGGGGCGCAGGAAGAAGGACGGAGGGTTTGGGAACGAGGAAGGCGGGAGCCGCACGCACCCATGCTGGGTTGTGTGCAGCTGTGCGTAAATGCGCGCCATGGTACCCTTGGCCTACGAGGCTACCAGTGACGGTGTATGAACATCGAAGGAACGTGAATGGCCCACGCCCGTAGGACTTCAAAAGTAGAGTTACAAGAATTACAAGTTCCACACAAATGCGGGGGACGTCACTAAGAGCCTGAGGGGACCCATTTTGAACGGGAAAGCACAGAGTAAAGAGAAGCGGCATATGAATGAGCAAGGTTGGACTGTCTTGTGATCTGGACCCGTTAGATTTCCCTCGGTCTTTCGGGACTCAGCGGGTGCAGGAGAGGTTAACGAGAGGAAAGGCCCACGAGCCGGACGAACAACCTGGACACGAACGGCCCGCATGCCTAGATGTGTGCACGGAGCGCATTACGCCCATGGCCCATTCCGCATTACTCACGCCAGCCCTAACCGGTCATCCCCTGTCTGCCATGTGCTTTCCAGTTCCCCTCATTCAAGCCCCGTCGCCTTACGTGATCTCCACTGTGGCCTTATTGAGCTGGTCCTGGAAACCTTGTACGGCCTGCAGCGCTTCCGCACTGCAAAACAACCGGGCAGCACGCGCCAAACACAACGAAAAGCAAAGACTCTCGCGAACGCCGAGAGGATACCGGCGTACAGTGCCACAAGAAGAGAGCTATCCGTAGTTCGCGACAGATATTTTGTGACTGGTGTCACAGATGCATTTCCCAAGCAGATCCTGCAACAGGTTACATGGCAGGCCCCGGTGAAGCTAAACATGAGGAGCTGACAAACGGCCGATAACGGGCCGGCTTGTTGCGCCCAGTACAGGTCCACAGAGTGTGAGCCACGCGATCCCCAGAGGCGCGGGTGGTCCATGGCTTGAAGAGAACCCCCGACCATGACAGCAACCCCAGGAGGTGGAGAGACTTACTTTTGCCGCGAGTAGGCGTGGGGGCTTGACGTCCCGCTCGTATCTGTGAGATTTCGGGAAGCACAAGGGTAGACAGAGCAGCGCGCCGCATTCCTAGTCTCAGGCTTTCGTATGTGCAGCAGAGTGTGACACCGCAAGAGAATCCCGGGCGTCTCCGTTCCAAGACCTGACAGCTGCGACCCTACAACTGGAGCTGATCGCGCCGCAACATGAGGCGTCCTCAACCACCTCTCCCCAATTACACACACTTACGAGTGCGCGCCTTGACCGTCGCCTCCAGATCTTTCACGGCCTGCGACAGCGCGGGTTCAGCACGGTACCGTCCACACCAGACAGATGCGGCCCCGGTGGTCAGGGAGAAGCCAAGCACAGCACAACACAGCACAACCCAGCAGAAAATACTACGGTGACTCGCATCTATGCACTGCGGGGCATGTGTAATGTCTGATTTGTCGCCTGCACATCCCACATCCCCTTCATGTCACCTTCCCTAGTCGTTCAATGCTCCACGAAAAGGACACCCTGTCTTTGCACCCCTGCCCACGCGAGTCGTGGTGCCGCTTATTGCAGCAGCTGCTATTGACAGCTACTTCGTCTAGCTCCTTACCCCCTCAGCAGCACAAACCTGATATAGCTCATCCCGCTCGGAGCGCAGCGTCTGGCACTCCAGCGTCGCCTTGCCGAGCCGATCTCCCAGCGCCGCCAGCTCCTTGCGCAATAAGGCCTCCATGGCAAGATTGACCGGGTTTGGCTCCACCCGCACCACCTGGGAAGGAAAGGAGATACAGCAAGCGAGAAAGCACACAGTGCAACAACTGACGTGAGCCGATCCTTTCCACACAGTTGTGAAACTAATGATGGCTGACCTAACCTGGTGTTACATCAAGTGATACTGGATGATGAAGGAGAGCCATTGGCGAACACGAGTGAGGTGGAAGGACTGGTGAGGTTAGAGCCGGGCTCGCACCTGGGGCTGCGGCGGCGGTGGGGCCGGCGGCGACACGGCTGCTGCAGCGGTTGTGGCGGCGGCGCCCTTGCCATCATTAAGTACGGCCAGCAGCTCGTAGGTTTTTATGGTTTTGCGGCTTCGTCGCAGCTCCCGCTTGCTCATTTTCAGGTTTGCGTCCAGCTCCCGGATCCGCAGACGTGCCGCTTGGACGTACTTGTCCATGTTGGACCTTGCGTAAGAAAAAAGAGAAATCCCCCAATCGATGGAGATTTGTAACTCAGCTCTTGCGTGCAAAGCAGGATAACAGTCGCAGCCCATACCGCCCACATGTACGTGCGGATGCCTTACGAATGCCTTACCGCCCAATGCAAAGGCACACAGTTGTGACCCAGATCGATTATCGTGGCATACTTGGAGAGCGAGAACGCTCGCATAATTGTTGCTTTGGAACGGCACGTGGGGAGTGCAGGAGCAGTAACAACAATAGCGGGCGCGGGCAAAGTCTAGGGCGGGAGTTGCCGGAAGCGGTAAGCACGCTTCCTAGAAAATCCTGATGTTATGCCGATGAACTTGTCCTGGGACGGGATGCAAGGCAAAGAGCCAGGCACGAAAGTGGAGAACATGTAGTGCTCAGTTGTAAAAGTCCCTGGACACCCATTACCAATGGATGAGACTGCGAGGCGGGTTTAGTACCCATTTCAGAGGCGCCATGCCCCCAAGGCGCCAATACGCATGTCAAGGAATCTCCACGGCCCATTGCCACAGCCATCCCTTACAACGTTTCCTCGTATCCCTCCTCAAGCCCCGTCCCGCGTCACGGTCGCTGTACTGCAGCCCAAAACCGTACGCACCTGTCCTGCTGGAGCCATGCGTTGCTGTTTTGCAGGCAATCCTGCACGTATAGCAAATACTCAATCATCATCTGAGATAGCCGGAATATTTTGATGAAATTGAGCTCCGTAAGATGACGCGTGTCCTCCGCCTCTATGTCGCCGAACGCGACTATGTTTACAATTTTCTCCAGTGTGTCGAGATCCACGTCACGCATCTGTACAAGGTCAGTAAAGGCACAGGTTTTGCGAAGACGAATGGGACCAGCTTCTCAAGCCCTAGAGCAGCTGGAACTAACCATGGCGTTAATGTCGATGCCATGTAGCAGACGCCAATCAATACGTGCACGTCGAGATTCAAATTTAAACGGTGGAAATGATGGTGCACTCGTCATGGTCTGGTCACGTAGCGGATAGTCGTAAGGGTCTGAAGTCACCCATGGTCCAAAAGCCGACGTCCCGCGCTGAAGGCTACCCCCCAGTCCATAACCCATAGTTCGTGGAAAGGTTGTGGTCATTTTGGAGGGTTAAGGAGAAAGTTCACAGTCTCGAGCCTGAAGCAGCTTTACAAGTTCATAAGATGCATACATCTGTCGCAAATTGACTGAATTTCAAACTGAAAAAACAAGCAACACATTCTCAGTATAAAAAATCACCAGCAAGGTTACTAAGACAATTGTCGTCCAGCCGGGTATGCGGGTCAAAATGCTACTGTACGGCGACAACTTAAAGGGCAATTTCTTGATCGATGCACAACAAGCTCCCATTTTGATTTCATTTCTTTTTAGTAGATAAATAATGCAGCTTGTGCGTGTTAGGGGAATCCGGCTTTACGCCGGGGACCATCCTTTTCATTTTGCCGGAGCAAACTGCCATTACCTCATGGTATGTTATAGCCTATCGAATCATTTTCCATTTTTCTGCAAGTGCATTTTCGAAAGGAATTCTTATCTGGCCCGTGGGTCAGACCTTCCACGCTTGCTATAGAAGCAAGCATTTGCAATTTAACTATGCTCATCAACTCTTGTAGCCTCCATCGCTTTATATACTCGGAAGCAGTATTGATGAACTGCTGACCCGCAGACTCATGCCGCCGATGAGCACCAACGGCCTTTGGTTACAGAGGTCTTGGATGATGCAAGGCGGCTCAATCTTACGGTCCTACGATGCTGGGCGTTTTGTGACGGCCCCGACGAATGGAACGCGCTGCAACCGGAACCGGGTAGGTATGCCCACGATGACTCCGCATCACCAGGCATCAGCTCGAGGCACGGTTGGGGTGCCGAGTCTCCCAAGGCTTGCATAATTTGTGGAATGCTCCTGAGATCTGAGCATTCACGTTGCGGTGCGATGCATCGCTGCAGGCAAATTCAACGAGGCGGTGCTTGTGGGCCTGGACTGGTTAATACAGGAAGCCGGGCGGCGCGGCATCAGGTGTGTAAGCTGTCTATGTGAGCACACTAACTCCTCAAAACTGCAGTCGTTAGTGTTCAATCCACTGAAGCTCCACAATTTTCTACAAATTTTCACGGCCTTCCGTAGTGTCTTTGTTTCTCGCGGAATGCTTTGCTGCGCCCTGATTGACCTAGTGCTTATCTTTCATATTGTTTGTCTAGGCTACACAATGAAAAAGATTACTTTCGATGTGGACAGGCTTTACAGCGCTCTGTAGGGTTCCACTAGTGCTGGTAAAGGGCCAACTCGAGGACTAAGCGCCTTGCGTTGCGAGTGCGCATAAGCGGTCTGCAAAACCTTCCAGCTGCATTCCCGTTGTGTCCCCGTTCCTCGCGATTGGTTTAAAAGTATTTTTGGCGCCAGTATGTATGACGGGACATACATGATTGAGAGTTTCACAAAGCAATGTTATGCTGTGGCGGCACTCGTTCTCCCTCCCCTGGCAGCCATCCATCCCATTTGCGACGCTTTAATTTGCTGCTCGTCCAAAGTTTAACGGCTAACAGCATATGCGCAGGCTGCTGCTGGTGCTTACGAATTACTGGCCCGACTATGGAGGCATGCCCGCGTACGTCAGGTACGGCATGCTCGTACATCTTGCCGCTACAACAGTTAAGGTCGGGTCAAAGCCAGGCTCACCTGCCAAATGCGCTTTTGGGGTCGTCCACTTGTGCGGTAAACTTGTATGTGAGAGTGATGTCACACCGTAACATGTACACGACAGCTCGCAGCAACATATACAAACAAACGGTTTCGCAATGGGGGCTTGGCCTTTTGATTGTTGTTTGGTGCCGTAATACATGAAGCATTTTTTCATTGCCGTACATTTGGCAGGTGGCGGTACGGCATCCTGGATCGAACACGGCACGATTACCAGTAAGAGCTAATGAGTTTTGGTTTGCATCGGTGTGTCTGTGTGAGTATGTATGTCGGTGATGAGGGGCGGGGGCGACTCATTGCCTTAGACAATCGCTACGCTCCGGCGTCACGACAGCTTCACACGTGTCCATGGCCAGCTGTCATCTCTACAGCAAGCCCAATCTCCAACCACGCCACATGCCGTACGTGCCAACTCCCAACCCCCAACCACCGCAGGAAGCACCCCACCTCGCTCTTTTACACTGACCCACACAGCCAAGCCATCTTCCGGCGTGCCGTGTCGGTGGTGGTTGGCCGAGTCAACAGTCTCACCGGGATGCCGTACACTCAGGACCCCGCCATCCTGGGCTGGGAGCTGGTCAATGAGCCCCGGTGCGAGGCCTCCAGGGAGGGACCTGGGAACGTCGTACTGCAGGTGCGTGTGAGGAATTGCACTAGAATGGGTGTGGTGGATATGGAGTCTTGGGGTTTAGGAGGTGTTCAGATTTTCCTTCGGGTTTAGGTGAGAGCCTGGGGTCCGTCACGTACGGTTGTACGGCTGCTACGAGGCCGCATGTCCGCGGCGGGAATTCGCCGACTAGCTGATGCTATCTATCCCCTCGTCACCTCGTTTGTTGGTTTGCACTCCAAAAAAGGAACTTCTTGGGCAGCTTTAGCAACGTTGGCAATGTGTGCATGCATGTATGTATGTATGTCTTATCTTATTTAGAACATAGATAGAACATAAAAGAGTATTATCCAGTCAGATAGCCCTGAAGCTATAATAGCGCCTTTCACCGCGCGCTCGGCCACCTCGTCAACGCTGTGAACTATGTGTGTATGTATCTCTGTCATGTGGCTGTACGTATGTATGTAATGACCCGTACAAACAGAAGTGGTTGAGCTCCACGGCGGACTTCGTTCGGGAGCTGGACCGTAACCACCTCATCACGGCGGGGTTGGAGGGTTTCTTCGGGGCTAGCACGCCAGGTAGCGGGCGGGGAAAGGGCGGGAAAGGGCTCACCGCGGCACGGGTAGGGCCGCAGATGCGGTACGGGTCGTTTCCTACGACTTTGGCTTCGATTCAGGTGCATTCAGGTCCTTTCAGTGTGCATGATGATTCGGTGGTGGTTTCACGGAGGGTGACACGGGAAGGCTCGATCAGAAGACCTGTTAAAACCGACAGGGCCCATTACACGTTTCTCGCTAGCCGTGTCTCGCCTGCAATTTATAGATTGCGTGTGCCGTTGTCAACCTGTGCATGAGGACTTTCTATCATTGCTGGGTTGCTTGCATGCATGTGGTTACCGTACGGCACCTGTACGATATCGAAGTCTCGTACGAGCTGTGCGATATTTTGCGACGTTACTCCTGCCATACCGCGGAGTTCCAGTAGTAGTAGCTGGCCGCTGGAAAGGCCTTTTCAGCGGCCCCTCGAGGCATGATGGTGGAGATAGCTTAGCGCGTATTTGTAGATGTTACGTGTGCCGTACTGTGTACCAGCTACTACACCTGAACATGTGCCGCCGAGCCCCCGCTGCAGGTCTGATGGCTGTGAACCCGTACGAGTCTGCATCGGACCACGGCTCCGACTTCGCTGCCGTGTTCGCACATCCCTCCCTGGACCTGGCCAGCATTCACCTCTACCCCGACCAGTGGCTGCCTTTGGAGTCAAAGCCGGACGAAATCAAGTGCGTGCGAGGGGATTCGATCCCAGAATTGCCAGGGATCTTGTTCCAGCCCAATATTCTTTCTATCATGCAAAACATGCCGTATATCGTACATTGAATACGATTTGATGCTTTGATAGATGGATGTTCCTTTTTGACGTTTTTTGGGGAACAAATGTTGTTTTTTTAAATGTCGCTTTGCAGGTCTTTCATGCGCAAATGGATTCAGACCCACGCGACGCTATGTGCCGGATCGCGACTTCGGAAGCCGCTCGTGTTGTCCGGTGTGCGGCCTTAGGGTGCCCTGGGTGCATGGAGCAAAGTGGGAATACAATTTAGTGGGGCAGCACCGGGCGGACCCATCCGTCATCCCGGCCATCGCAGCCTTGGGCGTGGCAAAAACCATCCTTTCCAAGTTTCCGGGGGGAGTTGACAAGCTGCTTTTTTTGTGTTAAAGGGCGTCCCATTCGCCGCCGGCTCCAAGCAAGCTTTCGGGCGATCATGATTTCAAAAACCGCGATGCCGTACAGGAATCCTCGTCGCTTTTGTAACAAGATGCCGTCGCTCTGACATCATTCTATGTATATTTTACGTGTTTCTTTCGCCTCAGAGTTCGGCAAGCGCAACCCGAATAGCTACCACGGCCGCGACTGTGCTTACAACTTGGACCGAGAGGAGGCGTTCAGAGAGGTACATCCGTACACAGTCCTTCGTACGCCCGTACACGTTTTTGCCGTACGTGGTGCGGTCAGTTGTCAGATAGACGCTGCGTTTCTTGTTGTTATCATGCTCCTGAGAAGCACGCTCCTCTTTTTGTGAACCTGTCGTACAGGTTCTGGACTGCTGTCGGGAGCTAGCGACGGGTGGCGGCCCTCTGGCCGGGGTGTGTGCGTGGCTGCTGGCCGCCCGGCAATATCCAGGTGTGAGCGTGAGCATGGCGGTGAAGCTTTGGGGACGTGAGCATGAGAGGAAGGGTTTGGCTTTGGGGACGTGAGCATGAGAGGAAGGGTTTGGCTGTGAGCGTGAAATGGGGTTGAGGTTCTAGGTTGGGGCACGTACGCCTAGAAACGAAGCCATATGCGGGTGTGGCTCAGGTATGAATACTCGCTGTAGAAGTGTTGTGGGACGGAAAACCCTAAGGAACAGATAGACAAAACCACGAACATGTTCGGGCCGCTCCCAGTTCGGTTGGACTCAGCCGCCTGGGCCTCCTTTCCTCCTCCCACTCTTTCCCTCTTCTCCTCTCTCTCCTTTTCCTCCCTTTTCCCCTTCTTTCCTTGGCAGCAGCTTCACTCGTTCGTGGTTCATCTTTCCCCCCTTTTCCCCCCAACACTTCACCGCCAGATTACGACGGATACACGCTCAAGCTGGGCCCTGCTGTGGGCTCTACACCATCACCCTTGGGTGTTGTGGAGGAGGAGGAGGAGAAGGCAGAGGAACGGGGAGGAGTCACTGCTGGGACGAAAGGGAGCGAGCTGGAGCCGGTACGAAATCGGGCGGTGGCGGCCGCGGCGGCGGGAGGCGCGGTGGCGAGGGCGACGCCCCGGGTAGCTGAGGTCTGTGAGGTGCCCGACATGATGAAGCCCTTCAGCAGCAGCGGCAGCGGAGGCGGAGGCGATATGGGGACGTACCCGCCCCTGCAAATGGAAGAACCTGCTGTACATTTGTTACGGCAATTCGGGGAGGTCATGGCAGAGCTGTGCACGCAGGAGGCTGCCGGAGAGGCGGGCACGGAAGTGGGGGAGGGCGGGGGACGCAAAGCAGCGATGGGGGCGGCAGCTGGGGTGGCGGATGCGGAGGGGGTGAATGGTCGGCACGGAATATTCTCCGTGTTGTTGTCGGGGTGTTGCGGAAGGTCTGGTCGCCGCTAGCACATGCGACTTTGGGGACGGTGTTTCGTGCAGCGGTTGCTGCCCTGGTGATAATGCAATGATAAGCACAATGGCGCTGCCGGGGTTCCAGACGTGTGCCGTGAATGCTTTTTGTTGCTGAGCACATGGAAAGAGAGGCATCCACGCCTGCTTCTTCGCTTCGGTACCGTTAGCAGCAAATCAGGAGCACGTGGAAGAAGGACTCCACGTTTTGTTTTGATATGTAGAAATTAAATGGAAGCTCCAAAGCACACTTGCATGACCGGCTTGCAAGTGTGTATTGCTGCAACAAGCAATATACACCTCTCCGTCCGGAGATATTCTGCTGCGCTACTACTTTGCAGCATCGGCGCGGCGCGGCGCGGCGCGGCGCGGCAGGTAGATTGCCAGTGTATGATTTACCAGTATCTTCAGTTAATGGATGATAACGTGTGTAGGCGCAGGATGATGAGCGCATGGATAAGGGAGGAGTAGGATTTGTTCAACTGGTTGCTGGCTGTTTTCCAGTGCACATGATATTTCGCAGGATGCCAACGGAAAGGCACGGAATGCTGACATTTGATGGGCGTCCATATGTCAGGTGTTCGTCGGACGATGTGTTTCAGGAAAAAAACGTCATGCCGTACTTTGCTTAAATTTAGCCCCGTCTTGCAGGCGTTGCGGCGGCCGCACAGTTGGGGCCACACAATGGAACAGTAGATTAGCTGATTACTCCGTGTGCATGTTGGGCAGTGCGCGCCTGCCTCAGATTGCAGGGGGGAACGGTGTAGCGCCGGAAGTCGTGTGAAGGAGAAGTCTTGGAAACTGACCCATGGGTCGCCAGTGGGACTGAGGGGACTCACCTGGACCTGGACTGACTGGGGATGGTGATTGGTTCAAGATACCTGTGTCGTCAGAAGGGGGGTGGGGGCTGTGGAGGGAGTCCCAGAACGTGGGGGGGGGAGGAGCGGGAATGTGGTAGTAAGGGTGATGAAAATGAGGAGGCGGGAAAGAGGGCAATACACACACACGCAGACACATAAAGCACACACACACACACACAAAGGGCAGGGAGGACGTGACCGCCCCTGAGCGGGGTAACGGCGTGCGGCAGGGGACTGCGAAGGCACCGCATCTGAAACTTGAATACATTCAACTTCAGGCGTTTCCAGGACGCGCTGGTTCTAAATCTCAAGCTATCGCCGCCATCAAAGTGGCCCACAGCTTTCCCACCATCGCATTTAGTAGCGACGTAATCGGATGGCTGGGGGGGGCAGCATCAAACTTCTCCCGCAGTCGTCGCGCGCAACGACGCATGGCATCCCGTAGCTTTCGTCCCAACTGCACAACAATGCCGGCAGAACTACACATACACCGCATTCGCAGCAATTCCCGTCGGCATGAGGTCACACTTTTCGCTTCGTACACTCCTTCACGCTTTCCTTCACAAGTCGCTTCAGTCCTCTCGTCCCTCTCCTCTCGCTCGTCCCTCTAGGGGGTTGTGTCTGGAACCGCTTTGTCATATGTCCTTAGTAGGTTCCCCAGCAGTTCCCCCCCACAGTGCTAACTAAGCATGCGCACGTCCATTAAAAGCGTTAGGCAGCAAGACAACGGCCTTAGAAACGTATGAAGCAAAAGCAGCCCCGTACGCCGCATGATGAGAGGTCCTGTTGCCCCCTCTTGACACACGCACGCACACCGAACAGATAAACATAAATACACATCGCAAACCTGCCCAGTATGTTGTACAGTGTCGTACATGTGCACACCTTGTCTTCTGTTTTACTTTCCACGCAACCCAAAAACTATGTGCCGTACAGCAGGTACGGCAAAAAGGGTTTACAGCACTCGTTATTTACCCACTTCCGTAAAAGCCTCACCCCGCGGGTTCACACTCCTTGTTGGAAAGCCTCTTCACCATGACCAGGCGCGCGCACGTGTACCGGACTTGTCATTTGTCTTCGCTCCCCAATAGAAGAACCCCCTGCGGGTGGTTGCCCATCCTCTCGGCACCTCCCCGCCCATCTGCCGCGCATCACCGCCTACCACCCTCCCCCCCCAGGCCCCACCATTCATCGTCCAACTCCTCCTCCTCCCCTTCAACCTCCGCTGTTCTCGGCCACGCAGGACCGCTACACGACGCTGACAGCGGTGGCGGTGGCGGTGGCGATGATGATGATGGAACTGCTTGATGCGACTCGGCCGCCAGTCGCCGCCACGCAGGTGCCCCCCGAAAGCCCCCTTTGCTCGGGGCCTCAGAGCCTTCCAGGGGTGGTGGCCTAGCAGGTTGCAGTTGCTGCTGTTGCTGCTGTTGCTGTTGGTCGTGATTGTGGTTGTGGTCGTGGTGGTGGTGTTGCCGTTGGTCGTAATCGTGGTGCTGGTGCTGCTGCCGCATTGTCGGATGATGCTGTTGGCACCCTCCGAAATGTTGGTGTTGATGTTGATATCGATGGTGCAGTTGCTGGTGCTGGATGCCGCTGGTCACGACACATGCCGCCGGAGAAGCCTGACCATGCACTGCCTGCTGCCCCTGCCACTGCAGCGAGGGCTGTTGCTGTTGCAACGGCTGGCGCTGTGGTGGAGTAGCCGCATCGACGCCATGGCGCGTTGCATTACATCGATTGCCATCACCATCGCCATCGCCGGTGCCGGTGCCGGTGCCGGTGCCGGAGTGGCGTTCCGGAGCTGGGTGCGGCGGCTGATCAGAGGTGGCCGAGGGCCCCGGATGCAGTGACGCCAGCAGGCGGTAAAATCCCGCTGCGGAGACGTACAAAGCACCTGGGCCCGGCGTCCCGGGTGCTGATGGCAGTGGTAGTGCTGCTGCTGCTGCTGCTGCTGCTGCTGCTGCTGCTACCTCCGCCACTGCATGCCCCTGCTGTTGTTGTTGTTGATACTGTTGGTGCTGCTGCTGGTGAGATGCTCTCATGGCGTCCTGGCAGATGTGGATGATGTTCTTGAAGACCGCTGAGGTTTGCGACAAGGCGGCCGGAGACCCCACCAGCAGCAGATGCCTTCGGGCTGTAGGGCGGTTGTTGGCGGTTGTTGACGGTTGGGCGGTTGGGCGGGTGTTGGTGGTTACGAGGGTGGGTTGGGAGTTGGTGGGTAGGGCGTTTGAGGGGCTTTGGTCCACCCCCGCATCCCCCCGACCCCGCACACGCAGACAGACAGACAGACACACCTACAAATAGGCAAGTTCAAGACTGATTTACAGACAGGCATAGGCCGCACCCCGAGTCAGCGCCACGTTGAGTCGTTTGGCATCCGCCGCGAAGTCCGCAGCTCGATTGACCGTGGTGGCCAGGAAGATGACCTCCTTCTCCGCACCCTGACATATCCAGTGTAGGGAACAGGATCCAAACTTATTAAAGTGCAGATTTTCGGATCCAGATCCAGGTTCCGTGTAGGCCCCCAAACTCAAGTCCCGGCGGATATGCACCAGGTCGTCCGGCAGTGGGGGACACGCGGTTCACAGGTCCAGATGGGAGATGTAAGGACCCTCAGATACTGGTTCAGGTATGGATCCCATCCCATGGATCCCATCCCACCAACCAATCCACCTGAAACGAGTCCACGGTTGCCACCTGCACATCACTCAATCCACCACCAACACCACAGTCGCGGGGGGCCGCGTCACCCTTCACCACGGCAGCACCACCATCACCATAATCGCGGCGAGAAGGTTGCGGGTGAGGATGTGAATGTGAGTGTGGGTGCGGCGGCACAGTGTCTGCCGCCGCGGCCGCCGTGCCCTGCTGTGCCGCCAGCAGCGCTCGGCGTATGGCCGCTACCTGCGCCCGATAGAAACAGATGACGCCCAGGGCCTCCGGTGCGACACCGCGGTCCAGCAGCGCCGTCACGGCCCGAGCCACGACGTGTGCCTGTGAGCCAGCGCGCATTTAAGGACGCGCCCAGGCACATGCGCGTGGGTCCTATGCATGTGTGTATCAGGTATCTAGTGTGATCCACGTATATGACCTACACTGTAACGCCGCTAAGGCGGCCCTTGGCGCACTTGGCTCACAGGGCTAACGGTCGCCTTAGGGGCGTTACATACACTCCAGATCAAACAAAAACATCCGTACTACGGACACGTAGTAGTGAAACAGCTACAGCTGCAGCTACAAAGCTGCAGTTGTACGGGGTAAAGTCCGCCTGCATGTGCTCGTACATATGACACATGCACGAGTGTTGCTCTTGAGCTGAGGAAATGCTTTTTCCTCGGATTCAGAAGCATTTCCTGATTTTTTAGGATTTATTATGTTATCATTCATATATTGCACCTTGTAAAAAGCAAAAAAGTACTGCCGTACACATGCTAGACACTACCGTACAGAACTTCTCCACACACCTCACCTCCGCAGTGTTGAAGCTGCTGCGGGTGGCCACGTCCACCTGAACCTGGCCCTGCGCCTCCACGAACACCAGCGTCGGCAGGCCCGGCAGTAGCGGCGCCCGGTTGGACGAGCTACAGCCGTCCCGCAGGCGGCCGCCGTAAAAGGCCCCGTTGGCTATCCCCGCCAGCAGAGGGTGGCACCTGGGGCCCATGAGATTGGGGAGGAGCTCGTGTACACATCACCAGGTCACCAAGAACATCACCAGGACAACGATTGCAATAGCGAAGAAATTTGACAGCAGCAATGGCAGCAGCAGCAGCAACAGAAGCAGTAGAAATGGCACCGCCAAGGGGGTGGGTCCCAGTCGGAAGGGTATGGCCCATGTAGGATGTCTGGTTGTGTATGGCACACGATGGAACGACACAAAGGACCCAAGGGGGGGGGCTCCCCAGGGGGGCGGGTTTTCCCCTGCTAAGCACCGAAATAAATAAAAAATAACAATATTCCCCCCCCACCGCTGTCCCCTCAGTTTACGGACCTGTACTGGTAGCTGAGAAGGTGCGGTTTGTGCCCCAGCTGTGACAGCCTCACAAACATGGGCCGCAACAGGCTGTCCAGTGGCCCGGCGCCTGTGCTGGTTCCTGCTGCCGGTGCCGCCGGTACCACCGATAACGACCCATGGGTCGATGAGGTGCCTAGCGATGATGACGGTGGGTGCAGAGCTGGAGTGGCGCCTGCTGTGAGGTTCGCGGGGCTGGCGATGACGGGGGGCAGCTGCAGCGGGTCGCCGGCCGCCACCAGAAACCTATGCACAGACAGACATACAGAAATCATAGGCAGACGCACACAGACAGACAGACAGACAGACAGACAGGCACAGGCAGACAGACACACACATACATACAGACAAACACACACACAGAGGCAGACAGACACACAGACAGACACACACAGGCAGACACACATCAGAGGGGTGGGAGAGCAGGATCGCGAAATACTTCGCAGGTACTATCACTCGTCAGCATTACGCGTGTCGATGGACAGTACTTGCACTCATACACACTCATACGCGTCATGCGACATTACTACATGAAACGGATCGAAGTCCGAAGGTGGACTCGGGATCCTGTTATACCCTTTCTTATGCCCCACGCCGCCTCATGCAACTAGGTATTGACACGTGTACTACTAGGAGAGGCTGAAGCTCCGGAACTTCCCCCTCTCTCCCCCTTGTGGTTGGGGGGGCTGAGGACGTGGCGACTGCCGAACGTTTACTTCCTTCCTTACCCGTCGCCATCCAACCTCCCGGGCAAGCACACAACCCCCTCCCCCCCTACACACACACACACACACACCAGCTACACCCCTACCCGGAGGGGCCCCCCTCGGGGCCCCCGCCAGATCATCCTCCCACCTGGCCCGGGCCCGCAGCAGCGGCACTAGACACAGCGGCTCCGTCATCTGACTGCATTCGTCCAGTACGACAACCGTAAAGGTGCCGCCACAGCTATCCTGTATGCGTACGGCAGTGTACCACAATGTACGACAGAAATGACCACGTCCCGCAGGCCCGCACGCAAGTACGAAGGGCACATGTTGGCTATGCTGGCCAGAACTGGTTTGCTTTGAGGGGGAAATGCGGGTGGGGGCTGGGGGCCGGGCAACACTCGGGCGCACTCAAGCGCGTGCTGCCCGAGATGTGAGGAGAAGGAAAAGGAAAAGGTAACTGCCCCTGTCGTGTGGGCCGCACAACCCTCCCTCCCTCCCTCCCTCCTCACGTGCCGTACCCCTGGCTGACCTCAGCGGAGGGCTGTAGCAGGGCGCACACGGTGGCCGCCACCACGGGGCAGGTGCGGAGGGCCTTACGCCGCTGCTTTTCCGCACCCGCCGCCAGCGCCGCCAGCTCCGCCTCTATGTAGGCCACATCAGTGGGGGAGGTGGCATCCTGGGGGGCGTGTCCGTATATCAGTATGTCCACACACGCGCAAACAGGCTGGAGTTCCCCCAGGCCAAGTTGCACTCGGGGTGCTGCCCTCCTCGACAAACGCGGCTTCCACGCAGCTCAGTAGCTCATGAAAACACAGCCACACAGCCACACAGCCACACAGCCATACGCACCTCCCGGCTGCAACCCAGGTCCCCAGGTCCCCCTCTCCTCTCCCCCTTCCTCTCCCCCCTCCCCTCCCCCCTCCCAACCAACCTTCAGTGCCCGGCGCAACTCCGTGGCCGTGTCCCTGTTGCCGCTGCTGTCGTCTCCGGCCCGCAGCGAGCGGTGCAACACGGGCTTGGCGATTCGGTCCACACTGCCCAGCCGCAGGAAATCAGTGAAGCCCGCGTCCTGAACCGGGGGCCGCAAGAGGTGGGCGACATTAGGCGGTGACCCGTGACCGGTCCTCCTCCTTCCTCAGGTGAGACCGCTGCTTCGAGAGCCGTGCAAGAAACTGCCTTCTCGCAGTTCAGTCCTTTTCGGATATACATACACATATACATATAAATATACACATGCACACACCCCTATAAACATGCACGCAGACATATGGATATACAGACATATACACAGACATACAGGCGCACCTGCAGACCCATGAGCACCCGGTCCACGGCCACATTGGTGTGGGAAGCCAGCAGCACACGGACCGGGGGGGCGCCGCCGCCACTGAGGCCGCCGCCATTGCGGCCTGGGCCAGCGAGCGCGGGCGCGGCTGGCCGACGGCCGCCGCGGCCTTTCCATGCCGCCCCGCCGCCGCCACCGCCGCCTGCCGCAGCTGTCGCTGCGCTCTGCTGCTGTTTGCCCAGCTGCACCAGCATCAGTATCAGCGCCACCAGCAGACTGCTCTTTCCTATGGGGTTAAAGCGGTTGTCCGTTAACACACAAACTTACAACCGTCACCGTTACCGGTGGTCAGGTACACACAACGGATAGACACAGTGACACGTGGGGCTACCGCAGAGAGTACAACACGCAGATAGCGCCCCATTAAACCCCCCTCCCCATTGCCAATCCACAATCCCCAAACCCCCCATCCCAGCTCCAGCTCCTCCAGCTCCTCCAGCTCCCCCCATAAGGCCCTCCTGACCCACAGGCGGTTATACATGGCAACGGAGCCTACCGGAGCCGAAGGGCCCATGGACCAGACACACGGGGGCCTGGCACTCCAGGGGGGCTGCGCCGCCATCCTCCGGAGCTCCACCGCCGCCGCCGCCGCCTGCTCCCCACCTCAGCCCCCCAGGTCCTCCTCCCGCGCTGCCAGGAAACACATCCTCCGCGTCGTCCTCCTCCTGCTTCTGCTGCTGTTGCGTAGTCTTCTTCGTCACCCTCGCCTCCTCCGCCTCCTTTTCCTCGCCGTCACTGTCGACCACAATGCCATGTAGTCTTCTGCCGCGCCGCCCGACAGCAGCAACCACCGACGTCGGGGCGGCACCACCACTGATGTCGACCGTTTGGCGCCGACCTGGCTTTTGCACCACAAAATCGTGGTCATCCTCGTCCTCATCACCGTTGAAGACACCGTCCTCCTCGGCACCATTCTCCTCCTTCCCTTCCTCCGCCGTGTTGCCATCGTCATCATCGCCATCATCATCATCATCATCATCCGCCTCTGCCGCCGCCGTCACACGCCGATCCGCAGCTGCGGTACGGCGCGAGGTGGTGCAGCCCCACTTGGCGTCTGCGTCCGCGGCGGCGGCGGCGGCCGTCGCCTGCGTGCCCTGGCGGGGCGCCGCCTTGAACCAGGAGGTGCAGTGCATCAATACGGCGGCCTGGTCAGCATTCAACTTGAAGCGGGCGATGTACTCGCGCGCGACGGCGACGGGATCGAAGCCGCAACCCCCGGCAACTCCCGGCGGCGGCGGAAACGACGCAGACGCGCTGCTTCCGGACTTCCCTACAGCACCGATGGCGGCTACATCTTTACCATTACCACCTGCGTACCCCGCAGCTATTGTTGCCGAGTCCTCCAGCTGCGCCACTAATGTCTCGTCCGCGGCCGCTGCCGCCCTCCCTGCCTTCCCCTCAATCCGCGGCCGCTTGAACCCGCCGCTGCCGCTGCCGCTGCCGACGGCGACGGCGACGCTGCCGCCACTGCCGCGGGCGGTTGACAGGTCCAGCGGCGCGTCGGGCGGCCGTAGCGACAGGAGGTGTTGCAGCAGAGGCAGGCTGTTGCCGCCGCCGCTGGTCTGTATGGGCCCTATGCCGCCCAACAGCAGCTGCACCAGCTGCACCTCCGATTGAACGTCGGGTCCACGCAGCGCATATACCGCTTGTGACCTGCAGCCGGCGCCGGCGCACAACCTATCAATCAACCAAAGAACAGTCCGCAAGAGATGAAGACAAGATGTGAAACGGAAGGAAATGAACTTCTGAGACCCCTTCATTTTCCAAAAACCTTTTGTCCTCCTTTCTTTCTTTCCATTGTAGTGATCCTTTACGTCGCTCCAAACACAAAAGGGGCCTTTGAAAGCCTCAACCGATAAGCTGAAACTTTAAGCGGCCAAGTACTTCACACCCACACAGAATCGCGCTCCGAAACACAAAGCAAAACGCAAAGCAGAGAGGAGCTAAGCGTAAATCCTTAGGACCTCAAGCTGTAGTACACTGCCATACGGACGTACCGTACATTCCCTGGCGGCGGCGCCGTCAGCATCTCCACCTCGAACTTGCCGTCTCGGTCGGGTCCGTGCCACAGGCTGCGACACACTGCCCTCCAGCCGCTGACACTGACACCGGTACTGCCGCCGGCCGCGGGGGCTCCTGGCCCTCGACGTGTTCCAGGTCCGCCCACTTGCCCCAGCCCACTGCCCTGCATCAGCGGATGTGAGCTGACGATCCAAAGGTCACTGCGCCTGAGAAGGGAGGAGGGCGGCAAAGGGGGAGGGAATGCAGGGAAGGAAGGGAAGGAGGGAGTGAAGGGAGGGGAAGTTACCGCTGGTGGCTCTCTCCACCCTTCCGCGTATTCCTGAGCCTACCAGGACAGCATACAAGCTTGGAAACCGCCCTCGCATGCCCTTCGACAACAACCGCCAACTGACCTGGTATTACTGACCTGGTATTTTTGAGACGGTTACGTACGGACGGAAGGGTAAGGTAGTACGACACCTTGGGGCCGGCGCTGCGGGCCTCCTCCACCTCCTCGTCGTCGCCGTCGTCCTCGGCCGCAGTGCCGCCGCGGCCCCGTTTCTTCTTCGACTTCTGCTTGGCCCCTCCGCTGCCTCCGCCACCGAAGCCACCTCCCTCTCGATGAACCCAACACGTCAGCGTGCACGACGCAAAGTACGGCACGTGGACGGGCAGACAGGCGCGCTCCAGCTCCGAAGCCTGCATGGGCGGCGGAAGCCGCGCGAAACCGCCGCTCGCAGCAGCTGACGTGGCCGCTCCGAAACCCTGTTTTTGTCCCTGGTGATGTGCGTTGTGTGCCGCTGCTCGTGCCGCAAGCTGGAAACCTTGCTGTTGCTGTTGCCGCTGCCACGGCAGCTGTTGGTGCTGGTGCCCGCCACAGGTGCCCGAATTGCCGCCGCCGGACGGTACCGGCGGCATCGCAGCGGGTCCCGCGGCTAGGAGCCGCCGTACGATACCGTACAGCTGTTGTACGGACTCGGCAAGCCGCAGGTTGATCTCCTCAACCAGAGCGCTCACCCACGCGGTGCTGCAAAGGAGAAAGCCGTGCGTCAAGTGTGTGGCTTCACAATATCATCTGGCGACGTTGCCTACGACGTGCACTCATGTTGGCCAACAATCGCCCTCACTAGGCCCTCACGCGCCCCGGCTCATTGCTCAGCCCTGGCCTCCCGCTTTCCCTTTCCCTGGCCCTGTCGCTGCCCCTGGCTCACCGGTAATGTTCCGGTCCAGAAAATTGACAGGGCAAAGCTACCAGGCGCTGCGGCACTGCCGGCTGATCTAGCGGCGGCAAAGCCAGCGCTCCGAAACCAGTGCCGCACATGCTGCCTCCGCCGCCGGTACCATCGGCAGCGGCGGCGGGGCCGCTGTAGGCCGCCGGCTGCAAAACGGAGGGCGAGGGCTTGGATGCAGGACCCCCCTGCCCCGAGGTACCCGCCGGCGACGGCAGAGGTAATGCCGCTACCACCGGTCGTAAGTGGTTCACTCTTTCCAGCCTACTCCCAGCAGCTCCAGCAGTAGCCAGGGGCCCTGAGGAGGAGTTCCCCGCCGCAGCCGGCTGGGGCGCGCTCCAGCGGGCTCGGGCTGCTGCCACTTTCCCTGCCAGCGCCGTGGGACCTAAGTCCCCGGTACCGCCGCTACAGCCGCCGCCGGCGCTAGCGGTGCCGCTACCGACAGCCCCGAGAACGGTGTTCTCGGCAGCTTGCGGGGCGCTATGCATCCCTGTAGCGGGAGGCACCCGTTCGCATCCCACATCAGTACGGATGACAAGGCCTGTGCCAGCGACATCGCGGCAAGGAGCGCCGCCGCTGCGGCGCCACGGCACAGCAGCGATAGCAGTGGTGGTGGCTGTGGCGGCAGCCGCCGCTGCCGCCGCCGCAGGCATATCTGCCACTATTAATGCTAAAGCACGCCTATCGTTGCCGTCGCCTTCCTCGTCATCCACGTCATGCAGCACCGCGTCGCCGTCTTCAAACGCATCCCATGCGATCCGTGTATTAGCAGTAGTTGCAGCGCCAGGAGCAGCAGTAGCGGCAGGCGTCCACGTGTCCGCGCATGGCTTGGAGGAATGAACCATGGGTCTGTCAACCCCTGGAACAGTCCCCATCCCTGCTAGAGGGATCGTTCCGCTGCAAGCGGTGCCCCATGCTGCATGCGCCCCATCACCTCGGGCCCGGCCTTCGCCAAATTCACCGCCAGTGCTGCTGTTGCTGAGATTGGGCGGTATCATGTTGGCGCTAAGGACGCGGCCTCCCCTCCCCTCGTCACTGTCAGGGCAGGGCGCTGGAGCGCTGCTCAAGAGGAGTCCTGAGGGAGAACCACTGGCATGTTCCGCCGACGAGGCAACAAGGCCCCAACGACGTCGTGCCAGCGCGACGTCACGCGATGCCGCTGGGGCGCCGTGGCCACCGTCATCTGAAGCCGTACCTGGACCTGCACTGCCAAAAGCTACAGCCGCAGCTGCTGGTGCCCTTGGCAGTGCTGTTTGAGGGTCCGCGGACCAACCACACGTCGCGCCGGGCGCGTGATGTTTTGGTGGCGGTGCGGTAGACACGCCGGAATCTGTCTGGTCCGCCGCCATAGAAGGCCCCGCCCCGCCAGTGTTGCCCATGTGGGTCAGCGGCCAGTTGGGTTTAAAACCAACATAGGCTGGCTTAAATGACCCATGGGACTGCGCATGCTGAGCAGTGGTGCTGCCATCGACGCGGACGGTGATACCGTCCCATGGATCATCTGGGTCGGTCAATTCCAAGTCTAGGTCCGCCCAGCTATCAGACAGCTGGGGCCGCGCAGGGCCCTTCTGAGCTTGTTGTTGTTGAGTATAATGGTGAGGCAGCGGCTGCTGTTGCGGCTGCTGGGGACAGGAAGAGCTCCAGGGATTGCTTCCAGGTGCATGGCCAGCGCCGCAGTTTCCTACGGATGTCGTACCGAGGCGCTGACGTGGCGGCGGCCCGTACACACCAGAGCAGCTGCCGCTGGTCAGACCCAGTCTGCCCGCACCAACACAGCGGAGGCCGCCGTGACGGTCCCCCGGCGAGGATGGCGGCTGCTCCGGAACCAAGCCGATCAACGCTAAAATGTCGTCATCTGCACGGCGGCACGGGGAACGGCAGGACCAACATCCGTTCAGCTCTGAACAGTCTCTGCGCTCATTGCACCTCACGCAATAGGTTTTAATAAGTTTGAGGATTAGCAAAGGCCTTTCGCGCAAAAAAACTGGGCAATCGTAATCAAAAGCATGGCATTTACAATTCCTTAAAAGGCTAATCCTATAGTTACACACGGACAGAGTCTAGGAGCCACTCCACAGCGCACCAGTGCGAGCCGTGGGCGCGCTCTCGTGGGCAGCGGCTCCCGAAAGTGGTCCCCTGAAAGGAACTGGGGCAGCCTCGCCGCTGCGCCACGCGGAACTCCCGCCGCCGCGATCTGGGTCCACCTCCTTGCAGGCAGCTGTTGTGCTGCGGACGCTGTCAGAACGTTCATGACACGGCCGCTTCGTCGAATGACGCAGTGATTCATCCACAGTACTTTGAAAATCTGCGTTATGCTGCTCGTGCGGGTGCTGCTCGTGTTGACAATGAGCGTGGTCTTGGTGATTATGAAGAATGCGATTTGGGTTTTTTTCGGTGTTGCGCGTTTGGCCGCCCTGAAAGCCGCTGACGCCGCTGCTTTGATGCGTTTCCCGTTTGGCCCAGAGATGTCGGTGGACCTGGCCATTTTGTGGATGCGGCGCGCCGTGCTGAATCTGCTGCTGTTGCTTAGGCTGCTGTGGGTGCGGCAGCGGCAGAGGCTTCTCCGTTGAGGTTGCGGCACGTGTGATTGATAAGCCATTGGTGTCAGCCTTCTGCTCAGCCGCCTTTGCGCCGGCTGGTTTGGGCGGCATGAAGTGCTGTCCGGTGCGGCGACCGAGAACTGGTACCACGTTCCGCTGTGGAGGCGCGGCAACAAGCGATTGGCAACCCGGCTCTGCTGCTGTAGTCATCCCCTTCGCTGCGACCAAAGAGTTCGGGGGACCTGCACTTGTGCTTGATTGTTTTCCGGGGTCCCTGAGGCTGCCGGGGAGCTCCTGCAAGTCGCATTTGTCCTCCACCATAACCAGCAAGCCGGAAAAGTATTTAAGCGGCCCATCGTCGGAGGAAAGCTTGAGAGCTGAGGCTGGAAGCCGAACTCCCTCTTGCATCTGGCGACCATCACAATCGTGTAGGACGGCCACGCCGGCCTTCACAACCAGAAAGCCATCCTCCCAAGTTTTCCGCTTCTTAACTAAATGCTTCGTGTATAAGCATCTATAGTACTCCATTTTGCCATCAGCGTGTGGATCGCTTTCTTCCTTGAATCTGAGAAAAGGGTTTTGTCAAAGATACACACGGTGCGATGAGTATTCCAGATCACTCAGATAAGCAGATGCGTTTATTAGTCTGTAAATCAGGGATTATCAAGTTATCGCGGAACCTCCTGCCGCCAAATTGCACGGCAACTGCCAAGGTGGTTGTAACCTCCACAAACTCCTGGAGTGGATGGTTGCAGGTATCGGCAACAGGAATATTTCTGGTTTCGGGAACTTCTTATTTCTGTTTTGCCCGTCCGAATTCTGTTACAGGGCCGAGGTAGGGAAACGCGATTTTGCCAAGTCCAAGAGTTGCAAGCGGGCCGGCTCCGGGAACTCTATTTCTGTTTTGGGGATTTTCGGTACGATCCAGAGTTCAAGAAGCGTTTGCCGATGTCTGCTGGGGGGGCTCCGACCGCCAAGGTTACCGGTCGGTTACGGGGTCGTTATCTCGAAATGTCGGCACCCTACCGAAGCGAACCGGTTGGATTATGGCTATACAGCGGTCGGTTACTGACCCTTTTATGCCATAGGTTGGAGGGACGAAGGAGTGATGGAGTGATGCATGTATGTATGATGTTACAGGGTGGTATAGCTTCACCAGCGGGCCCCTTTCCCGAGGCAGTTCCCTGCTCTCCCCTGCGAGAGGGGCACCCTAATCCATTCACCCCATCCGACTTCAGAATGTATTCGTTGGGTTCAGCAACTCACCACCAGCATCCAACCAAATCGAGCGGATCAATGGCGCCTCAACTTAGTTCCTGGTCAGCTCGCAAGTTGATATAATCACGTCCTACACCGTCCACAAGATGGGGGCCACCTCCCAATTCAACACCTCTTCACACACCCCAGAGGTCGGCAGGCGGATTTGATATATGTATGTATGTATGGAGGACTTGATATATGTATGTCTGTATGGAGGGCTGGAGAGATGGAGGGATGCATGAAGGCAGGGATGTATGGCCCTATGGCCCTATGGCCCTATACATACATTTGACCGGTCACTGATCGGTCACCCGGCCCAACCGGTCGGTCGGGTGGGGAGGAGTTACCCTACCGACGGGTCACCCTACCGATGGGCTATCCTACCAATCGGTTACCGGCCGGGACAAAACTCGGTTGACCGTAATGAAATGTGCCTAGCCATGCATAAGAAGTGCCTTGTCTACACCAGGTTCAGTGAAGCGACCAGACCTGCCTGCTGAGCTGCTGCGTGCCCACTGTGCTGGCTGGTGCATGCTGACAAATGATGAAAATTTTCCTAGCAAGACTGTTCATGTATACATCTTTATGTTTTTGAGCTAACGTACGTTGTACGGAGGTATAATTTAAAACTTGGACCAAGTCCCGAAAACACTTTTAGGATCCAATGCTCGCCATTTCACCCTGGGGTGAAACGACGAGCATCCCTAACTTAGCCATGCATACGCGACGCGGCCGCCCAGCAATAGCCTTAATGGAAAGCTAGGCAAGAACACAGCACGGTCGTTTTCCAACGAGACATGGTTACATTTGCCAGCATGGTCAAGCACATGAGCTTATGTATTCTACGGTTGCAAGCTGGATAGGGCGTTATATGCGCCACCGCACCCCCATCTCCATCGCATGCCTTTCAAGTTCATTGGGCTTCTCGCCACTTTCTCCAAACAAAAACTTCTGTGCTACTGGCAGCTTTCAGTACGTGGCGCTGGCTCGGCTAGGACTTCACCATAACTTGCACACGTGTATACTAGTGTTCGGTCCACAGACGCATCCAGTACGACCATGCCGTCATCTAACCTCCAAGCACACCCAGGTTCACCAAAAGTCAGCGAACGTAACCGAAGTGGTTTGGCAAGAGTACGCAAGGAATTATACTCAATCCTAACTATCGGTACCTTTAGGGTTATGAATGCCCAGGTGCCCACTTCTGCTGAGATCCCGACTGTGCCGACTATTCGCCAGCCTAACGGCAGCGCGAAGGCACACAGAATGAAACGCGATGCACCATCCACGTCCCTAGAGTGCTTATGGTACAGTAATAGTGATGTGATGTGGTAAGGCGTCTGCGGCGGTGGAGTGAAAAAAATTAGAGGTTGTACCAGGATGGCGCCCACAGCACATGAGGCATATGCAACGGCGCACCATGCTATTACATGAAACGTTGAAACGGCCCTGCCAGCCGTTTCAAAGACAAAACCATTAACGAGTTTCCTCCCCTCCTGAAATGCTGATCTACCGCGCTGATGTGGCTACTGGCTGGCGTGAAATACTCCCTCCCTTTGGCAAGGAACAAACCAACTGCTCTTGCGTAAAATCAGCCGCCTCTAGCAGGCGTCTGATTTCGAGACCTCAGCCGGAGTAAATACCTCCCAGGCCAAGGCTCGGGACGCGCGCTTAGGGGCAGCCGCCTTTCCATTCCCACGGACCACGCAGGCTCAAGGATAAAACGGCTTCGGCCGGTTTGGCGATTGTCGCGCCATGCTCGGTGACCGCGGTGGCGTCCTCTGCAGCTGCAGCAGCAAGCTGGGGTCCCTAACTCTAACCTGCGGAGATGGGAGCCGGGATGATGCGGGGCAGGTGATGGGCGATGATAGGTGGCGAGGATAAAGTGTAGGACTCCAGGCAGGTCGACAAAGGGAACAAACATCATACGACTTTCGCGCGTGAAGCAGCGGAGCCTCATTCCCTGCGACATCCTAGAAGCCTCAGAAAGAAGAGAAATAAGGCGGGGACCTGCCGAGGCGGACCTTCATCGCGCACGGCACCGCCTAGGCGGAGCCGTCATGGCCACCCCACTCATCGGCTCCTTCCTCCCCAGACCTGCTTGACGGGTTTTCTACCCCGACTCTTCCCTTAAAAATTCCCACTCCCTTTTCAGCCACGATAATGTTGCAATAGTAGCAGAGGCCAGGCGTCCCCGTGTTGGGGCCAGTGATGCGGGGTGGATGCCGGCTCGGAAGCTGTCGATAAACGCACGTGCCAGGCAGAACACGGGGGAAGCAAACAGGAAGCGGCAGCTCTAACCACGCGCACCTAGATGGCGACCCACCATCGCGCTCACGTCCGCCAGTCGCGCCTCCATGAGCTGCAGTCGTGCCCTGACCACATTGTACCGGTAGCTCACTTGCAGTCGTATGAGCTCCTCCGCCGCAGCCACAAACTTGCAGCTGAGCAGCTCCACGAATTTATACTCCATGTTCTTGGGTTGGGGGGTGCAGGAGTTTTCAACAATTACAACTGCGGTTGTTGTTGTTGCTGTTATTGTTGTTGTTGTTGTTATAATCTTTGTAGCTGGAGTTGCTGTTGCTGAACATTTTCAGCTAGGAGTTTTGCTCTGTAATAAAACAGTTAAATTTATCACTGCCAGCCAGCCTGTATCCCAAACCCTCGGCGCTCGCACACCGTAACGGCAGGTTCATGGCTCCAAGCTCGCATCTAGTACACATATACACATACACACACACGTACACACGGTATCTACGGCCCCCCGCGCGCCCCTCCCCTCCCCTCCCCTCCCTTCCCCTCCCGCACCTGTATAAAGTCAAGTCGTGCTTCCCCCGTGGGATGCATTATGAATACGGCCAAGTAAGCGTGTGGCTCCCGGATGGCCTGATTAAGCATCCGCATCAGGATGGTGGGGTAATCCTGGAAGTCCGCCATCAGCCGTTGTAGCACCTGTATGGCGAGGCGTGTACGGCGAGGCGTGCGGAGGTCAGCAAAACAAACAGCAAAAGCCATGGCAACGCGTGCGGCCGCCACAGTCAAAGGCCAGCTGAAAAGGCTCGAACATAGGCAAGACTAAAAGCCTCCTGCCTGCCTATCCATAAGTCCATAGTCCCTCTGTCTGTCTGTCTGTCTGCCTGTCTGTCAGCGTGCAAGGTAACGCAAACCTAGAGCAAACACATACACGCATCCCGCGATGAGCCCACCTCCCCAGAGTCCAAGCCCAACCCCCAGCGGCCATCACAGTTCGCACCTGCACCTCCCGGAACGACCGCTCGTCCAGCTCGTGGACATACAGGAAAAATAAGTTGGACTCACTGCACAGCTCAACCTGATGTGGTAGTAGCAGCAGATGTCGCGGTGGCGGAAATTAGACACAGCGGCAAACTAGCGACGACAGCAACAATAGCAGCAGTAGTAGTAGCAGCAGCAGCGATGGCCATCGGGCGAAGCGGAAGTCCCAGCCTCTATTGTCTCGCTAGTCGGTACTTTCCAGGTTCAGGGGTTCACCGAAAGGAGCTCTCCAACGCCTTTCCCCTGGGCCCCCCCCCCAACGGATGTCACCCGCGCCGGGGTCTCCCACAGGCTGGCTAGCCAGCTCGTGGAAAGGAAGGCCCACAGCGTTCATAGCGGTGCGGCGAGGCTTCCCCACCCCACGGGGGCTTCCCTCCACATGGTTTCGGAGAGTAAGAACCTTCAATGGGTTATCAGTAATTATCTAGGCCTCGGGCCTTATTGCTGGGGAGTTGTTGATAGTGTGAGGAGGAGCTTCGGTTTTGCTTCTTCCGCTTGTCTGGGCCTGTCCCGAAACCCGCATTGTCCTGCGGGGCATCGCCATGCAGTGCAGTGCAGTGCAGTGGATACAACCCACTGGATGCAACATTCAGCCACCCACGCACCCACCCATGCAGCCGCCCTCCCTGGACCCACCCGGACGGCCTTGACGTGCTCCCCGTCCAGCTGCCGCAGAATGCGAACCCGAATGCCCTCCAGCGCCCCCATCTGAGTGCAGAGTGCGGGATGGGGTTGGCGTTCGGGGGAATCACGTGCGAGAATTTCAAAAATGGATTGCCGGCGTCCGTGTCGTAGGGTTGGGGGCCGATGGGGGTGACTTGTATGTACATGCAAACGTCAAAGAACGATATCTGACACATCTAAAGCCGGGGCGGGTGGGCGGAAAGGCCGTGGTGTCGGGCTGGAAGGGAGGGTTATGCCAGTGAATATGGCTTTGGAGAAGGTTAAGGTTTTGGGTTGCAACGGTTCCAATTAAATATCCATCCTTTACTACACGCCGCGTCACACTGAAGCTCCGGTCAGCTCGGCTCGAAAGCCCAGCAGCAGGCAGGCAGGCAGACAGCACATCGGGCTTGTCTGCGCAAGTCAAGGACGACCAAGGAAAGGGCCGCCGCACAAGTGATAAACGAACAAATGGGCGCGGGTGTGGGCGAGAGAGAAAAAAAGAGAGGGAGAGAGAGATGGAGGACAGCAGCTCTTGCCGCGCGCATTTCTCTACAGACGAGGTCTTTTCTCCCCTCAGCCCCGAACCTCACGTCCGGGTACGTTACCTCCCGCCCATCCACCCAACCCCTGGACAGACAATCCCCGATTTCCTCAAGGCCCGGCACGATAACCACCCGGCCCGGCCCGGCCCTGCTCACCCACGATGACAACCTTCCCTTGGTCCTGTCCCCCAGTGCACGCAGCGTCGTACCTCAGCCCCACACAACACCAGGCTCGTGTGACTTGCCGGACTGAAGGTTCCCCCTCCCACCGAGAAAAATGCCCCCAGGAGATCCCCGGGTAGTCAAGCGTCACTCACACGCACGTACGTACCTCCGTGGGCAGGTCCAAGGCCATAGCGGATCGGAGCTCGAAGGGGACCTCCCGCTCGAAGAACAGCTGGAAGCCATCCACTGTGGAAGCGTCCAGAGGGCCGGGGGTTGCATGTTTGCACTAAGGAATCCAACGGGAAAATGATCGATAGCGAATGTCTGGACAAGCCTTGTGCAAATCAGGAAGTGCCATTAGCAGGCGCAGTTGGCACGCTAATTAGCCAACAGCGTTGGGTCCCGGATTATTCAATAGGTAGGTTCCTATGTGGGTTTGTTTGAGAGATTTCGTGGACATAAGGAGCGTGTTCATGAAGGGGTTGGCATAGTGGGGAGCCGGGGCGGGCAGAGGTGCCCTGTCAGCAGCAGTGTGGATATCTCTCCCAGGTCTACCAAAGTTAATTAGTGGAGGGGGATAAGAAGTTCAGCATGTCTGATGGCAACCAGTTGGACTGCAGCGCGCCCCAGCCATCCAAACAAGTGCAACCCCGGGGGATGTGGCAGTAGTAATTTCGTCAGGTTGAACTTGTGACGTTTCAGCACAAAGGCATGACCTATGGAAGATGCTCCAGGGATTATATGTTGCCCTCGTTTGTAGCGATGGCTTCTCACCAAGGCTCGGATCCAGCTGCTCCAACGTTGCATAATCAACAGTCCCTTGGTGCACAGGCTGGTCTTCCATTGCTGTAACAACGGGAAGCACGATAAACTCCACAACAGACTGAAAGCTTTGTCACATGCATACGTTGTACGCAGCAAAGCTGCTCCAGAAGGGACGCATCCAAATACCGGTCAACAGCCCTAGAAAGTCAAGCCTTTCGAAATGCCAGTCTGTCAAACAATATGAATACGTGAATAGTATTAGATACGTGCAATTTCTAAGGCAGTCAGCCAACGCGACGGGCAAGCCTGGATAATGACGGGTCGTTTCTGCAACCGATTGCGGATGACGAAGCAGACAGGTTTAGATGCAAAAGTTCTGATTACAGGTGAAAACATCCAACATTTCCAGCCCTCACGGTTGTAATGCCGTTACAGCCGTACAGAGGGTTCGGTCCCTTCGACTACCTACGACTGCTTCCTGCATGATCTAGCTGAAAGAGGCAGCTAATAGTTCCTGCAAGGCGCATGCAGTAATCCTGAGGGCCCCGAGCCTGTGCGATGTTTCAAGGATTGGTGTACAGATGGCCAAAAGCGTGGACAAACACACATCTGACTGACATCCAGAAGTTCTTATTTCTACGCATAAGTGCCGACCATCGTCAAATAATTTCATAAAGGTCTCCACTTGGGCGCGCCTGGCAATAGGGAAGGAGGGGCCGGGCGCAGCCTTGTGCAGTGGCTCGTAACCTTGAAAGGCTTTCGCAGATGCCAGGTAGTTAGATAACGTGACAGATTACCATCGTGTTCTAACAACCAACTAACGGGAGTTTTGCCCTTCCCCAATGATATAACTAATACTGCCGTTCCCTACTGACACTTTGCCGACAGTGCATGGAGGACTGGAACAAATCATTGAGCAACAGATCTGGTTTAAAATGTAGTTCTTGAAGCCGTCAGCCAATGGCTTATACTGCATGGCAAACGCAAATCAGTTGGCCACCAGACCGTACGAGACCGTCGACTTTCATGTAACCTCAATGGCTGTGACCTGAGGCAGCTGAGGTAGCTGATGGGGCTGAAGTATTATACAGGATTGATATTAAAATGGTTGCGTGATGTGAGTACAACTGTTATTTTGACTGCTTCAGGGACAAACACTCATATTTCGCGCCAAACGCGTCTGCAAGAAGTATCGACTGGCATCATATGACTTCCTCAGTACAGCATACGCGCTTGCCTGGTCCAATCCAAGCAATAGCTTGGAACCGGGACTGTACCAGCATTGCAGTATCGCACTTATCGAACGATTTATCACACGCATCCCACGATGTCATAATCTATGAGATCACCTTTACACCAGCAGGACAGCTATCATGGTCAAAGGTATGTTATTGTTGGCAAGGCTCCCTGGGTCATCCACCATCCTCACCCATATCCTCCTGATCCATTTTCCTGTACCCTAAGCACATACAATCCATTTCCATTTCCCAAAAAGGACCTGCTCCTCACCAATAAACTATTTCTCCTTCGCGTGAACCGCACAAACCGTACAAACCACACCCCTGCTTCTTCCCTCCTGCTGCACAAATCACTTCTCCCCTGCGAGCATCCCGCCGTCCCCCTTCCCGCTCTTCGTCCGCCCCATCCCCGACAGGTCGCTGTCCTCAAAGGCCACGAACAGCTGGTCTCCGGCCTACACTGGGCCCCAGGTTCAGATCAGATCCTCTCCTGCTCTTACGACCGCAACGCCTTCGTCTGGACGCGCCCAAACACCCAAAAGCCTTCCAGCACCACAACCACTGCCGCGACCCAAATGCCCTCCACCTCGGCGACCAGCCCACAGATATCTCCCCGTGGCGCGGGATCCGCAGCCGTCAGAGCAACCCCAATGCCTGAATCCGCGTCTGCGTGCGGGCCGCCTGGGCTCCAGGGGGGCAGGGTATCGGGGCCACCTGCTGCGGCCCAGGGGCCATGGGAGAAGCAGATGGTGATTACGCGGCTGACCAAGGGGGCCTTATGTGTGCGATGGAGTCCCTCCGAAACCAAGGTATATTTGTATATTACGGAACCGCCGCCCCGTCTTTGTGAAGAGATCTGTCTGTGAGCCCCTTTAAAATAGTCACGCCGTTAGCACTGTAACCGCAGCGCAGCTAAACCGTCGATACTGTAATGGTTTTGGGGGACGTTGTTCGCGAATGGCGCCGTTGTTCGCGAATAGAGCTGTGTATAGGCAAGAGTTCTGGGGGCAAGAGTGGTCGGGGGGAGCTGGAAGCCGCCACATTGAGCTGTCCTGGGTCTTCATCAAACGTCAAACTCCGAAACACCAAACCAACCGTAACGTCCATTCGTTTGTTCCGTTGATCTCAGGACCTTCGGATGGTCTAATAGACCTTACGACATGGTCCGGAGCTCTTCGTAGGAAGAGAGCCCCGGGGCCGGTTATTCGGTCCCGGGCTCTTTTCATATGGAGAGATCCCAATACCACCACCATCACCATTATGTAACATGGCATCCAGCAAAAAGGTTTTACCTGGACATCGTCCATCACTCCCTTCCCCCCCCATTCCCTCCCTCCATCCCTATCCTTGGTATCAGCTTCACCCGGTCGTGGTTCGTCTTCCCCTCCCTCCATCCTTTCCTCAGTTTGCAATCGGCAGCGCGGCCAGGGTCGTGTCAGTGGGGTACTACGACAAGGAGAGCAACTGGTGGGCCTGCAAGATGATCCGCAAGGTGGGAGCGGAGGGGGTAGGGGGGATCGGGGGAAAGGGGGCGGGTTTGGGGTTTCCTTACTTACTGGCACCAAGACACCGCGGCGGGTGGGAGGGGTGCTTCATCCTTTTCCGTAACCCCCGCCCCCTTTCTGCTGCTCCTTCCCTCCCCACCACACCCAAATGGCTTCACCTCCGGAACCCTCAACCTCTCCCCCTCACCACAACACACGCCGCCCTTCATCATCGTCATCATCATCGCCGTCACCACCATCATCATCGTCATCATCATCGCCGTCACCACCATCATCATCGTCATCATCATCGCCGTCACCACCATCATCATCGTCGTCATCATCGCCGTCACCACCATCATCATCGTCATCATCATCGCCGTCACCAGGCCCACGAGAGCAGTGTCGTGTGTGTTTCCTGGCACCCCAACTCGCTGTTGCTAGCCACCGGTTCTACGGATAAAAGGGTGCGCCTGTTCAACGCGTACATGGACGGTAAGGGCCGTAGGAGGCTGGGGGGAATGCGGAAGAAGGGTGTGATGGGCAGGAGGGCCGAGGTATCAGATGCCTGTGAGAGAGCCGGGAGGAAGGGGGGAGGAAGGGGGGAGGCGGAATGGCTTGGTTTGGTAGAGAGGGGAACGGCAATGGTGGCTGGAAATGCGAATGGGAGGGAGCAGGGTAGGAAGTTGGAAGGAAGTTACAAAGGCCCCTTGGGGCTGCAAGGGTGGTGGGAAAAATGGAAAGCTGGCCGGAGGGTTGAAGGGAACATAGCAGTGCGTGCGTGCGTGCACGTGCGTTGTAACCCCCTCCACTCACCCCCCCCCTCTCACCCACCTACCCGGGGTAGACCCCGACAACCGACAGCGGGGGTCGTTTTGTATGTTGCTGCGCGTGAGAGCCCCTCCGTGGTTCTCTTCTTCGGGTACCCCACCTCCCTTCCTTCTCCCCACCCCACCCCGCCACGCCACGCCACGCCCCCTCGGGAACTGCACCCACCGACTGAAAAGCCCTCTCGCGGCGCCTCTCTGTCTCTCTTCCCTCTCCCCACAGGATATGACCCGGCGCCCGGGGCGGGAGCTCTGCCGCCCAACTCCGCCTTCGGGGACTGCCTGATAGAGGTAGAGAATATACGAACATAATTACAGCATTAAATATAAGCTTTTTTTTAAAGATGATTTTGGTTTTTTTTATCAGCAAGTGAAATTATCTCCCCTCATAAATTTTGGGTATCAATAGTAGATATGGGCGGGGGAAGTGGGGGAAGACGAACCACGAGCGGGGGGGAGTCGTTGTGGGAGACGGACGCTATGGTTGGGTAGTGACGACGACTGCTGGCGGCGGGATAGCGCCCCTTGCACAGCAGTAGCGGCAATATCAACAGGTGGTGAGGGTGTTTGGACGGTGGTGGCGGTGATGGGGGTGGTGCAGCGCTTGGAAATGCTTCTTTCAGCCCGCCGGGACGTACATGGCCCCACTGGAAATAGGCCTGCAGCCTGTCCAGGCAGCCAGTCCGCCCGCCCTGTGCGCCCGCGCTGTCTGTCTTTCTGTCACGCCGGGTTTCACCCCTCTCCGGTGACCTCCTCCTTCCATTGCGGGTTCCCCGGCCTGGGCCGTTTATGTCCGTACTCGGGTAATGATGCCCTTTTCCCCCTCCCTCCCCCTCTCCCTTCGGCCTGCAGGTCGGCCATGAGGGTTGTCTGTGGGTCCACTCGATGGTTTGGAGTCAGGGCGGGGATGAGGCCCTCATGTACACCTCGCATGACGCAGTGGTGGGCTATGTGCGGGGACCGCAGGTGAAGAGGGAGAGGAGGGGGGGAGGGAGGGGAGGGGAGAGGGGGAGGGGGGGAGGGGAGGGGAGGGAGGGGTAGAGAGACAGAGGAAGGGAAAAAGGAGAGAGGAGTTACGGGGGTTATGTGCTGGAAGGCGTTAAAGAAAAGGCGAGCTGGTAAAAATCTGTAGTAGGATAGTAAATCAATCCGTCTTCACCTCTCCTTTTCTCAAACCTTCTTTTTCCAACCCCCTCAGGCCCAGGTTGCCGTACGACTGTCCAGCCCCGCTGAGCTGCCGTTGAAGTGCATGGTTATGGTTTCGGAGCGAGTGGCAGTTGGGGGCGGTTGGGATGGCTTCCTGGTGGTGCTGACCAGGGACGGCATTCAGGTATATATGTATGCATGTATGTATGTATGTATGTGTGTATGTATATATATATATATATGTTTCTGGGGCTTGGGTGCGTGGCGTGGGTCTCCAGTATGTGACTTTTGACCCGGGTTCAAACCGCCGACTGATCCACTCGTATCTGGGGCTCTGTGCTGATGCTGTTCGCCGTGGTGTGCCTCTTGTTGGTTGGTGGTTGTGGCGGTTGCGCAGGAGCCCTGGCGGCAAGCGGGTGTGCTTGGGGAGTCACAAATGACTGGCGCCGCTGCCGCCGGCGACGGCGGGAACGGTGGCGACGGCACGGCCGGGGGAAATAGCCTTGTGCGACAACTGGCACAGATGCACGTCAGCGGCGCTGGAGGTGGCGGGGCTGGTACGGCAGGGTCCAGATCTGCGGCAGGTGCGGTGTTTTGGGGGCGGTGGCTAAGGACTTACCTGATGCTGCAGGGAATTTCAGCTTACCTGATTACTGGCATGTTGCGTTTACGGACAACGATGGTTTGTTCTTTGCGAACCGGGTTCAAGCCTTCAGGCGCATTCATGTTGAGAAGGAGGATATTGTGGTGGCTTATCCTCGTTGTCCCGCCCGTGCCTGGTACCAGCAGCAGGCGGAGTCGCGCAACCCATTTGCCACACGGCCCTCGTCACCGGTCTACACGTACGGCCAAAAGAGGCTGCGGTGCTTGGAGGGGGCGCGGCTTGGCATGTGGCATCTGCTGGCCTGGACGGTCAAGTCATCCTATGGGATCTGTCTTCCTACCTATAAGCGTGCCCGCCCATCCTGAAAGATCGGTCGGACACGCTTACAGGTAGGAAGAAAGATTGCGTAACATAACTTGGCCGTGACGGAATTGTGATAAATTTGTAACCACACAGACCAGACGCTGCTGGGTGCGGTACATGTACGATATGACAGTGTGTTTTGACCGGGACCTTGGTAACGGCAATAACGAAGGTTGGCGGATGAAACATTTGATATTGTTTTGAATACTTTATATACAGACCGTTAAATTTGCAAGGATGGTGAAGGTCGTTAAGCCCGTCGAAATAACTGCGACATTACGATGCAAAGTAGCTGTAATTGGTAAGAAATTAGCTTCCTAGATGTGATCCACACGTTGAAATACTAAGCTATTCTATTATGCACAGGCGAGGCGGGCATCGGGAAAAGTTCGCTCATCTCAATGTTCACAAGTAAAGGAAGTAAATTCAATAAGAGTTACGTTATGGTAAATACTGTAAATCGATGTATTTCCTCAAAAAGCGCGGCCAAACGACTTTGTGACGGCACATGCAGACCAGCGGAGTGGATGTCGTGGTAGCTCCAATAGTTGTCCCGGACACAACGGTTCAGGTGGAACTATACCTTCTGGATACAGCTGGGAATGAGCTCTACAAGGACCAGATTTCCCAATATTGGAATGGCGTGTACTACGCCATGTTGGTCTTCGACGTCAGCTCTATGGAGACGTTCGAAGCGTGTAAAGCATGGTACGAGCTCCTTAAATCCGCAAGGTACGCCGTGTGCGTCCCGCAGCGTTGGAAATCGTGGAAGACGTTTGTGTGGGTGTTCGGGGAAAAAGAGGAGCCTGAGCCTGCCAGGCCACAGCTGCAGTTCGAAGCACCCTGGCGGGGAAGATACTGCCAACGCCTCACTTAGGCGCCTGGCAACAGTTCCACCCGTTTCCGCTTGCTCTAGCTCTCGCGCCCCTCCCATGTCTTGTGCCACACTTGGCGGAGAACTCGTCCTTTCTACCTGCCGCGCCCACATGCAGTGAGGTACAGGCAGCGCCTCTTTTAACTGTAATGCCATCCTTTGATGTTTCCCCTGTCCCCTTCCAACACCATATGCATGATGCCCAGGCCCGACCGTGAGCGCCCACTGCGCGGAGTGCTGGTGGCCAATAAGGTTGACTTGCCGCCGCAGCGACAGCAGGTCCGCCTGGAGATGGCGCAGGAGTGGGCCACCAACAACGGCTTGGACTTCTTCGACGTGTCCGCGGTAAGAGTGGGTTCCTGGCTGCTCTGCGGCTCTGAGCATGTAGCAGTACCCGTTTTCCCTGTCTGTCGGGTGCTCTGGACTAATTCTTCGTTATGGATGAATTGCTGCTACATCATTCACTGAGGAAACGACCCCAGCATTGCATAACGGGCCGTGTTCCATCGCCCCGGAGGCCATGTATGGGTTGAAGCACCACATGCGTGAGCTGCAGCAAAGCTATGGACAAAGGACACACCGTGAACCGCGTTTTGCTCTGGCCTATGGCCCAGGGTGCGTACCAGCGGCTACCTTCCGTGAGCCTCCAGTCAGAAATGACAACCCTCCCTACCGCCTCCACGCTTGCGTGTCCCTTGTCAGGCCCCCCCCGGCAAGGACTTCGAAGCGCCATTCAACAGCATTGCGACAACATTTTACCGAAACTACGAGGACAAGGTGACAGCCTTCCAGGATGCCTGCCGTAACTACTGAAGTGTCCGAAAAGACCATTTGGGACCTCTGATGGCCTGCCTTAGCCTTCGCTGGCCCAGCCAGGCCAGCGCAAACGTGCTCTGACGTGCGTGGTTGAGGCTCTGGGGGGCTCCGGCTGCCAGCGCGGTGTGCTCATCATATGCATCGCGTGTGCAAGGCGGGCATAGAGCGGAACAAGCCCAAACTACCTTGTGAGGTTACGTGATCGTAGCGGTGGTAGTAGCAGCAGTAGTAGCAGTGTCTGGCCTGCCGCGTTTCCTACCAACCTGTCGGTGAGACGCTTAGTAGATGGGTGGATGATGTGCGCGGGATGCCGCCGGGATACGGCAACCAGACATACTCACCGTGGACGCTCCATGCGTGCAAATGCGCTGGTGAGGAGCGCTACATGCGCGCATCTGAAGGAAGCAACATGTTTCGATGTGGCGTGGCACAGTGTAATGGTCTTTTTCGCAGATGCAGGCTTTGAAGAATGCTGGTGCTGCTGCTGTTGCCGGCGGTGGGGAGGGGGGAGGTAATGGTGGTGCGTGCGAGTCGATCGTTCCCACATTTGACTGCTGCAATGATAGCTGCAACGGGTCCATGCCTTACGGACCCATAGGGACCCATGTACATAGAGCCGCAACGGGCCCTTGTTTAACGTCTTCCTTTTTCGTCGGATATCACCATCGGTTATGTTTACATGTCTGAACATGTTTCAAGTGTTTGTACCAAAGTTGGGAGAGTTGCGCGCGTCACGACTCATCCTGGACAACTCGGATGCCGCGCTGTATGTACTCTGTGGATGCGCAAGACACAGACACACTACTGGCTGCCGGCAACGGCGCGCTTAACCCCTAAACACAGGAGTGGAGTGGTTACCAGAGACACTCACGTAACGAGCGACACGATGCTGGAGTAAAGCCCAACCCTGAAATGCAAATTCAAGTCTTTAATCATCAGCCAAACAGGCAGGTTCCGCAGCCAAAGATAAGTATATGTAATATACCCCCGGTCTCTCCCGGCTCAGTTTTAGAGTCAGGCTATATCAGGTAGCCGTGTAGGCAACGGTGGATATTGGAATGGCCCTCAGGACGTCACATGTAAGGTTCATCACTGGTACATAATGCCGGACACGCTTGCAATTGGCTGGTGCGCGCGCTCCGCCGTGTGTCCCGCAGACTCCTACCAAAGCTCCCACACAACCGCGGCAATCCCAGTGCGACTAAGATCAAAACAATATAAGATATGATCGACCTCCCGGTGAGCCATACGGGAGTTTTCCTGGAGGCAGCTATTTTTGGCCTCCCGTAACAGTGTATGTCGTATGTATGCGTGCGTAGCGAGGAGTTTAAGGAACAGAGCAGCCGTTGCACAAAAGGGCTAGCTACGGCCCTCGCGGCCCGCTAGCTACGCCGCGCAACCGCATATACCCCACCACACAAAACACACACATCACACACACACACAACCTTCACACATTTCATATATGACCCAATATGAATAAGACCAATGATATATTGTCTTATCTAGGGCAGGCATTTAAGCAAGCTTAGGAGGGAGGCTGGCCTGCAGTGGATCGTGTCGGAAGAAAGCCCTATGAGAAAATCGTTCCTTCGAAAGATGTACATACATACACACATACCTAATACAACATTACATGCGTTGCCCGAAATCCGAAAGAAGCGAAGAAGACTGTGGATGGGTACAAGTTCCCCCGCTTGCCTTCTGCCTTTCCCTCTCTCGCCCTGCCTGTCCAGGATTTGCTCAAGATCCACTCGGAATCCGTTCAGGATCCAGGCATTCGAATGCTCACCTTGACTGGCGAGGGCAGCTGTATGTACGTTACTAAGCCCTGGGACTGTTCACCACCCGCGCCCAGCTCCCCCGCGGTCTCTCCCTCCAGGGCCTTATCCACCGCCACCTCAATGGGACCAGGCAGCGGCCCTGGAGTCATCCGCTCGAACCGTACCACCCGACCCGACCTGCTCGGCGGCGGTGCGATGGACACAGGTAGCGCCGGCGGCGCCGCAACCACCGGCGCCTGCGGCGGCAAGGCGGCGGCAGGCGGCGGGATCTCGATGTTGGGTCCAAAGTGCACGGATGGCTCGAGTCGGGCCTCGCCTGGGCGTCTCAGGGGGTCGGCGGTGTGGGGCCCGCCGGCACCGCCACCATCAGCGGCAGTGGTACCTGACGGTAGCATGCTGGCGGGTATGTGGGGCCAGGGGCTGGTGACGACGGCGGGCGGGGGGGGTCCTGGAGGTAACACTCGCAGCCCTGACGGACCTGCAGCCGGATCAATTTAGCCAATCAGTTGCTTAGCTGCTCAGTCGTTTGTTCGTTCGTTCGTAGTCCGTTCCGTTAGTTGGTCGGTTAGTTGGTTACTCTTGGTTCGCCAGTCGGTCCGCGCGTGCAGAGCACAGTTTGGCATATGTGAGCAGGTGGCAGCAAGTGCGTGCGATGCAGTGAGGTGCTTTGTGCAACACAAAAAGGGAGATAGCTGAGACCCAATAATCCATAACTAACTTACCGGAATTCCGGGTTTTCGTTGGGGTCAAGGTCTCTCAATACTTCTTGTAAGCCTCGCACCGCCATGCTATTCCCCTCCGAGCCAAAACCCAAATCACGTAAGGCAAACCACGGCAAGCAAACCACGACAAGTCCCCGCCCTCACCGACACCACGCACCAACACACCACCCACCCAGCGGCGCCATCTCGGGTGTCGGACCGCGCACCGTAATGGCTGTGGATGCAGCAGCCGCAGCAGTTGTAGCTGCTACAGCTGCGGCTGCGGCTGCTGCAGCCCCTGCTGCCCCGGACTTGCGCTTCTTGGCCATGGTGCTGACTGTTTCCTCCTGCAGCCGGCTGCCCACTCGGGCGTACGGCCTTGAGTCCTCGCGGGACAGACGGTGGCCTGAGGGCCGCGTTGGAACAGCGGTAACGAGTGGCGATCGAGGGGAGCAAAAAAGGGGGGCGGGGGGGAAACAGGGGGGCGGGGGGAGGACGGATTTTGGAGCAGGTGTTTGCACCGTAGGGTTTTAGGGGCTTTCCAAACGGTTTCGGGTTGCCGCTGCTATTACAAGAGGTCACACACACACTGGGCTGGTTGAGCTTCACTTAGCCTTCACAAGAGACATAACTGTCGTACAGAGACAAGGATGGTTGGACACAGCGGAGGTCGGCGGCCTGATGCTTAGAAACAGAAAGGCGAGAGTGATGACCACGACTCCGGTGTCACCTAGCCCTGAAGTGGAATTCAGTAGTAAGACTGGCAAGTAGTAAGATCTTTTTCTTCTTCCGCAAGCCACGCGTCTAGCGTACCCGGCAGGCCGTTCAGCAGCAGCTGTACACTGTTGACGTTGCCTCCCGCAGCCGCCGCTCCTGCACCTGCGCGCAGAGGCCGCGACGGCCCGCTGTGCGACCTGCTATGCGCCGCCGCGGCCCCTCGCGCCGTCTCACCACCAGCCGCCACCGCCGCCGCCGCAAACGAGCCTGCGGCGGCAAAGGCGCTGCGATCCAAGGTGGCGTCTGTGGCTGCGGACAGGGGCCGGCTGGCGCCGGTCGCCGTCAGCAGTGCGTCGCGCGGTGGTGAGGATTGCCGGCGGGGGGAAGTGCTGGAGGTGTGGTCCAGGTGATGAGGACGAGCTCCGGCCAGTACGGCAACCCTCGGGGGACTTGAGGACGCGATCTGGAATAGTGGTAGATTCGTCCAGAGTGTGGCGGAGCAGCGTGTGAGGGAAAGAGGATGGTGGGAGGTGGGAGGTGTGTGTGCGTGTGAGGAAGAGGATGCAGGTGCGATGAGGGATGGGGTATCGTAAATGGAAATCGCAGGTGGAAAGATGTTCTTATTGCACCTCAGTCGATGGTCGGCTTCCCTATCCCAGCAGGTATCGGTCCCCGCAGCAAGACATGCCCCTATGGAATTGGACAGAAGGTGACGGCAGTTGGGGAGTTGATGCAGCAGGAGCAAGGAGAGCTCAAGGGGGAAGACGGCCATGATGATAATGAGGAGGAGGAGAGGAAGAAAAAGGCTCTTCCTTGGGGGAAATCACATCGGGCCACGCGGCGCAGGTGTCGAACAGCTGCGCACGGCGCACGCCGTACCTGCGTGCCGTACTGCACAGCCAGGCTGCCATCGGCTTGGACGCGCCGCGTGGGTGAGCTGAGCGGTAGCCTCTCGGCGGGCAGCTCGGGAAGCTCGTCCAGGGAGTCTATCTCCCGTACGACGCAGCTGTCCTCGATAGTGCCTGGCGGACCAACAGGTCGGAGGGAGGGAGGGGTGGGGGTTTGAGAAGTCGAAGCGGGAGCGGAGGACAGTGGGGGCATTATTTACTACATGCAAAGGTTTCAAGACATAACGGCCGAAGTGACGCCCAAAAGCAACAGTCGCTGGAGTCCAGGCGATGGCGTTAATGCCCATGAAGGCCGCGGGAAAGCTCGGAGCAAACGTCTGAGGAGGGGTAAGGCCACGGGGCGGGGGGATGGGAGCCCCCGAGGAGCAAGCGAACGACCTGTCCGGCTCCTCTAGGAGAGATGCTTGCCACGTGCAGGGGCCACGTGCGGGGGCCAGGGGTCCATCCTTCGGGAAGCGGCTCCCACCCCCACTCTTTCCCAACACCCACAACCCCGAGCCGAAAGAAATCCAGGTCAATTCCAACTTCCAGCCCCCGGACTTCCAACTCCCCCAACTACCAGCCTAACTACCGGCAGCCCAACCGCTTCCAACCCCACCTAGCTCCCCCTAGGTCCCCCCCCCAGCGCAGCGGCTCACCTGATGACTCCCCCACAGGATCGGAGCCACCGACCTGCACCACCCACGTGCCGCCCGGGGTGCGGCCCGGGGTGCGGGAGAGGGTCCCGCCGCGTGATGGAGGGGGCGGGAAGGGGGCGGAAGCAGCACGCAGGTCATGAAGCTATGATTGCAACAACAAAAGCCGTAACCACAGCTGTAACTGTAACCGCAACCGTAACCGCACCGACAACCACAACCGCAGCTGCAACCGTAAGTCCGTGCCGAGCTGCCGACAGGCCTGGAGGAGGACCCCAAGCTCCGAGCACCTTGACGGATCAGCAGCCGCACATCCACCAGCATATCCTTAAACACACACATATGTACATACATGTAAACAGACACACAGACCCTAATGAAATCCTAAAGCTAACAGTCACACAAGAACACGTACAAACTTGACTCGCAGTTCAGTCCAATAACACACCATCCCCATCCCCAACCCCAACCCCGCACCCACGCGACCCACCTGCAGCACCTTCCGCCCCGGGCTCAGCAACGCGGCCGTGTCCGCCACTCCGGCGCTGATGGCGTCCACGGCGCGAGTCAGCCGCTGCGCGCGAGCCGCCAGGGAGGCCACGGCGGAGGACAGAGGGCCCTTGGGCCGTACGGCGGCGCCTGCGGACGTACATGCATACGGACCGAACAGACGCACATGCTCGCTGCTATGCGTTCTACTGTGGTGTTTTGTCTTTTCATGACCAGTGCATGCACCACATGTAGGCGCGCGACAAACCGACCTGTGTGGTTGGCTCTTGTCCAATACTTGTGTGTGTATATATATATGTACATAAGTACATATGAAAAAAATTACATATATATGTGTGTGTGTATCTATGTATGTTCATGGACATTTGGGACACGGAGAAGGAGAGATGGGGGGAAAAAGGGAGACAGACAGAGAGAGATCGCACGGATCTTCGTGTGTGCCATCCGGCTCTCCCCCGCGGACTATTCCTCCGTTAAGAACACGCACACAGCACCTTTCCGTTCCGCCGCCTTCCCTACCGCACCTGTCCGGCCGGGCCCCCTCTCCCTACGGCCAGCTGGCGGCGTCCGGCCGCTGGACAGAGCGCGTCTGCCGCTGCTGCTGCCGCTTCTCAGCCCTCCCTGTAGCCTTCCACCACCACTAGCAGCAGCACGTGTCGTGCCAAACGACGTAGGTTCCCCCATCACCACCAGCGGCGGCTGCCGGCCATCGATGCTGGTGTGGCCCCGTCGCAGCGGAGGGGGCGGAGCCGCCGCCGCCGCCGCCGCTGCTGCTGCCGTGGCAGCAGCTGCGTTGATTGCTGCCTGGCTGGGCCCTGCCACTGGCGGCATGGCTCCGCGACCCTCCAAGCTGCCCCACATCGCCATGGTGGCCCCGGGGGCCGGGGGCCCCGGCACGACGGTGGCGCCCGGCTGCGTGAGTGCATGGGTGCATGGGTACACGTATTGGGAAAGCCAAACCACGGCAAACCAGGAAGAAAAGTTCGATGTTTGTGAGTATGTATGTGTGTCCCTTACGCCGGGTCTCCATTTGCAGAGGTACTGGTGCACTGGCGAGTGGGTGGAGAAGGGGAGCAGCACCGCTCGGGGGGGTTCTGGTGTGTACGGGAGGGTGTGCGCGTCCGTAAGTCTCTGGACTCGTGAACTTGTTCTGGATCCAATTTTCGTCTGGATCCGATTTCTTGTAGCCCATTACTGTTGTGCCCGGCTGCCCCAGCAATTTGGTAGTTTGGACATCGACAGTGGACGCCTTTTGCTTCTTGCCTCCGATGATTTACTTCTTCCCTCCTTCCCCCGCACGTTCGCCCTTCCTCGCCCTTGCCTGGTGTTGTGAGGAGGTGAGTGGCTGGGAGGTGACCTGCAGTCCCGCCGCACGCGCCGCCGCAACCACGTCCGCCGCCGCCACGTGCTCCGCCGCCGCCCCCGTCTGAGTCCCGGGAGCGCTCAGCACCACGTTGGGGTTGGGCAGGTACTGGGTGCCGACTGCGTGAGGACCATCCGGGAAGGCAGGGGGGTAAGACGAACCACGGACGATTGAAGCACATACCAGAGTTAGGAGGGGAGGGGAGGAGACAAAGAGAGGATGTAGGAGGGCCAAGTAGCGCGATCGCAGGGCAGGGGAGGAGAGATAGCGCGGTGGTGGTGGTGGTGGGGGGTTACCGGCATAACGTGGATTTCACCGGGAGGTGTGGGTCGCTCATCTTCTGCTACATACAGATCGGTGCGTCCGGCTCTCAAAACCCCCTCCTTGCCGTACCTTCGACCGTTGGAAGTTGGTACAGCATGAATGGATTCTCGGGGCGCTGACCAGGCACAAGTAAGTAACCTCCTCCGCCGCCGCCACCGCCGCCGCCGCCGCCACTGTCCGGTCCTGGCCCAGGGCCTGTGTCCGTGCCCACTGTTGCAAATCCTCTACCGCCACCACCACCGCCACCGCCACCAGCGTTGGGACCGGTTCCGGAGCCGAATCCGCCTAGGATGCCGCTGCTGCTGCTGCCCGCCTGCGCGGAGGCGAAGGCGTGTGTGGCGGTGGCAGCGTCGACGCCGAGCAACCTGCAACGAACACATGCATGTACGTGCGCATACATACGTACATACGTACAGAAAGACAGACAAACCACCAGTCATCATAAGGAACGTGAACATCGAGAGAATAAAAACGAAGTCCCCCACAGGTCACCCATTTCATTATTGAGATCAGGGACGCTTTCACTGGAGTCGATCTGTCCCCCATTTGCTCTCTCGCCCTTTCGACCAAGTGAGTGTGGCCCCACGGATTCCCCCTAGCACCTACCTTCCGGCAAAACCGCCAACAAGCCCAACTAAGCCTAGCCGAGTCCTCCATTGTGGTAAATAGGTCGATACAAACCAGCCTAGAGCACCCAACCACCCATTTACACGTGCAGCCGCGCACCCCCTGCTGCATTAGACCGCAGTTCCCAGTAAAAGCCGCAGCAATAGCAGTAGCAATAGCAGTAGCGGGACTCACGCCAGGTTCCGCTGCTGCAGCTCCCGCTCCGCCTCCACCTCCGCCGTCGCCACGTCCGCCGTCGCCCGCGCCGCCTCCGCCACCACCCTCGCCGCCTGAGCCTCCGCCGTGGCTGCCTCGTAGTCGCCGATGGCCTCATGGGCCCTGCGTGTGGCGGCACCGGCGGCCCACAGCCGCAGTGCCAGCCAGGCCCTCTCCAGCCGCCGCCGATCGCCCAAATTCTCCATAAAAGTAGGAACCGCCTCCGTGAGCGCATCCACCTAACACGATTTTAGAGATTTGTTTCTTTTAGACAGTACGACAGCAGTACAGAGTACGGCGAATAAGGAAAAATAGTAGACGCAGAGAGAGAGAGAGAGAGGGACACACACAGAAAGCACGTATGTGGGGGAAGCAGCTCAGCGCGGACGGGCGATCCATGAGGATGGCGGAGGCGAGTAAGTGGCAACAGAAGAAGACTGTGGGGTTGCTAACGAGGAGGAGGGGCAGGGGTGGAAGGACAGCTGTCCGGAAGATACGGCCAGAGGCAGGGGGAGAGGGAAGATACGGCCAGAGGCAGGGGGAGAGGGAAGATACGGCCAGAGGCAGGGGGAGAGGCGTAAAACCCGCAAGGAAAGAGAGGCTAAGTACAAGGATACAAGATAGGATACAGAACAACAACAGGGCACAGGAGCGGACCCCGGCTCTCGCACCTTTCGAGTTTGTCGCTTCATGTAGGCATAGGAGCGCCATGCCTGGAGGAGGTGGTCGCAGCCGCAGCCGCAGTCGCAGCAGCGGGAGGAAGAGGTAAACAACAACATGGCCCCGGAAGGGGCGAGAGGGGGGTTTACACAATGTGGCAGGGTGACGATACCGAAACGGGACGTTTATTTTCAAGTATGACACGGTTAAGGCATGCGAAGATAAAATAAATGTCAGTCGCTATGAACCAGAATCAGAACTTCTCCTTGTTGTTGTTGGTGGTGATGATGTAGGTGGTGCTGATGGTGGTGTTAGCGGCTGACGTGTTCTTCACCTGCATAG